CTGAGGAATGCCGCTTTGCCCCCCGGAGGCCCCCGAGGGCTCTGTGGGGTGTGTGTAGCGAGGGTTGGGGTCACAGCTCCCCGACAAGCTGGGGCAGAGCCGGGTGCAGGTAGCTGGGCTGGCGGTCTTGCCTGAACCGCTAGGCGCGTTCCAATTCCTTTTTTCTTTGGACAGGGGAGAATTAGCCAATGGAGTTATCACGCTGGGCCCAATAAATTAAGTTTTAAAAAGTGACAGTGCCCAAGGAAGCCAGTTAATGTGAGCCTACGATTGAGGGGTGGGGCGCGCGGTCACAGGGCCAGGCTACAGGCTGCACGGCTTCCTCGGTGAGCCCCAGTGGACTGTCTTAACGGCTGGATTTCGCTCTCACAAACACAGGATGAGACATTTTAAGGTTGGGGATGGGTGGGTGTGACTGCTGTGGTGGCATTGCATGCTAAGCCGCCACCTGCAATGCCCACAGGGCGCCAGTTCCGGCTGCCTGGCTTCCCACCCAGCTCCCTGTCCATATCCCTGGGAAAGCAGTGGAGCGTTGCCCAGGTGCTTGGGTCCCTGTACCTGCATGGGCGATCCGGGTGGAGGGCAGGCCCCTGGCTTGAGACCCGCCCAGCTCCTGCACTTGGGGCGTAAACTAGCAGATACAACACCCATCTCTCTCTTTCAAATAAAGCTTTTTTTTTTTTCCCTAAGATTTATTTATTTTTATTGGAAAAGCAGATTTACAGAGAGAAAGAGAGACCCAGACAAAGCTCTTCTGTCCGCTGATTCACTCCTCAAGCGGCCGCAACGGCCGGAGCTGAGCTGATCTGAAGCCAGGAGCCAGGAGCCTCTTCCGGGTCTCCCACGTGGGTGCAGGGTCCCCAGGCTGTGGGCCGTCCTCCACTGCTTTCCCAGGCCACAGGCAGGGAGCTGGGTGGGAAGTGGAGCAGCTGGGATTAGAACCGGCACCCATACGGGATGCTGGTGCTTGCGGGGGGAGAATGACCCAACTAAGCCATTGCACTGGGCCCAATAGGGGGAAAAAAGTTGAAAGAAAGAGAGAAAGCGAGCCCAGAGCGCCCAGGGCGCCATGCTGGGCGTCTCCTCACTCAACTTGCACCTTGAAACAGCCTGACTTGGTGACAGGCCCCCACCCCGCCCCATGCCCTTGGAGCAGGTGGCACAGGATCCCACAGGGGTGCCGTCTCCCGAGGCCACCCAGCCTTCCTCCCCCCTCAAACTCCGAGCTTTCCTGCCCTCCTTTTATGACTGCAAATCCACTTGCTACTAAAATTAGCCTGCCGGATTGCAGGAGGGGTGCGGCTGGCCCCATGGGGCCCTGGCCGCACGAGGACGGAGCCCGTTGATCTCGCCTGCAGATAACACCTCAGAACTGCCTTCTTTTTTATTGCTTATTATTTTATTTTCAGCAATTTGAAAGGCAGAGAGAGAGAGAGAGAGCAAGCGAGCTTGCTTTTGTTGGTTCACGCCCCAAACCAGAGCTGGTCTGGTCCAAAGCCAGGAGCTTCATCTGAGTCCCCCACGTGTGGGGTGCAGACAGGGACCCAGGCCCTTGGCCATCCTCTACTGCAGTGGCAGAAGGTTGGACGGGAAGTGGAGCAGCCGGGAACCGAACCGATGCTGCAACCTGCAGGACGTGGCTATGAGTCCTGGCTTGTCTACTTTGGACCACCTCCTTGCTGAGGCACCTGGGGGAGTTCGGGTGGAATGCCAGGCTCCTGGAACTGGCCTCTGCTGGCGCCAGCACGCTCTCATACAGACTTAAAAGTCACTCTGTTTTTCAAATAAATGAAAAATAAAGGAAAAGAAACATCTCTGGGGACTGCTCTGTCACTGCCAAATGCTTATAAAAATACATATATATGATGTACTTGTTTCTATTGGAAAGGCAGATACACAGAGAGAAGGAGAGACACAGAAAGATCTTCCATCCACTGATTCACTCCCTAAGTGGCCACAATGGCTGCAGTTGAGCTGATCTGAAGCCAGGAGCCAGGAGCCTCTTCTGGGTCTCCCACGTGGGTGCAGGGTCCCCGGGCTGTGGGCCGTCCTCCACTGCTTTCCCAGGCCACAGGCAGGGAGCTGGGTGGGAAGTGGAGCTGCCGGGACACGAACCGGTGTCCCTGTGGTACCCTGGTGCATGCAAAGTGAGGATTTAGCTACTGAGCCATCAAGCGGAGCCCTGTCCAAATGCTTTTTAAAGAACAGGAAACCGCTGACCAACCTCAACAGGACCACAAGCCAACAAGCGCCGATCCCTGGCCCTTCTAGAAGCCTGGGGGATAGGGCCCCAGCCGCCCCGGCTGCTCTCTGCACCACGCTGTGTGGGCGGTGGACGCAGCCTGCAGGTGCAAGGGACGCGTGGTGGGCAGCCCTGGACATGCTTCCCGCGCCCTCTGCTGGCGCCAGTTGGGAACACACACACTCTCTCCTCCCCTGCTGTACTGACACCTGCCAGGTAATAGCCATGCATTTTCCCTTGTTGAATACCCCCCAGAATCACCAGCTAGATCAGGCATTCCCTGCCAGCTGTGCCGGTCAGCGGAGGTGCCAGGCTGCCCAGGTGGGGAGGCTTGCTGGAGCAGGAGAGCAGCTTAGTTTATTTATAAAGCAGCAGACTCTGTCCTCCCTCCCCTTGGGACCCCTGAGGATCTGCTTCCGGTTAACCGAGCGAGGCCCTGCTCCCTCACGACCCCTGGAGGAACTCCTGGAGCCCTCCCCAGGGTTTGGGGCCACAGCCCACCTGACTCTGGTTCCGGCTTGGGAAGCCGGCCGCCCACACGACAGCATGTGGAGTTTGAGCCCTGGGTCCGTGCACACGCGCCTTCTGGCAGGCCACAGGCGGTGGCTGCAGGAGATGGGGGTCCTGTCCCCGCTTGGGCCCTCCATCAAGCCACCTGCTTCCCCTTGGACACAAGCCTGATCTTTGGCTGCCGTGCGAGGCAAAGCCGTCAGAGAGGGCTTTGTCCAGGTAGCAGTAGCCACGAGGGTCAGTCTGTTGGGCTCCAGGACCGAGCGGACCACGAGGTGACTGGGTTGTGGAGAAGGTGTTTATATGATGGGGAGAAGGGCGGATCCTTAAGAGTTGCTGTGGACATATCCTTTGGACGAGGTGATGTGGCTCTCAGCACACGGGCGGTACCCAGGGTGAGGCTGGGGTGGGCCGGGCACTCCGGCAGGGAAGGTGCCCACGCCCCCCACATGAAGGTCTGGGTTCAGGGGCTGGCACTGTGGTACAGTGGGTTAAGCAGCTACATGTCCACAATGGCATCCCACATGGGCACCGGTTCCAGTCCCGGCTGCTCCACTTCCCATCCAGCTCCCTGCCTGCGGTCTGGGAAAGGCTGGCTCAAGTGCATGGGAGACCCAGAGGAAGCTCCTGGCTCAGCCCTAGCCATTGTAGCCATTTGCAGAACAAACCAATGGATAGACAATCTCTTTATAATTTTTTTAAAAAGATTTATTTTTTTTATTGGATAGGCAGATACACAGAGAGGAGGAGAGACAGAGGAAGAACTTCTGTCTGCTGGCTCACTCTGCAAGCGGCTACATCAGCCGGAGCTGAGCCGATCACAATTCAGGAGCCAGGAGCCTCTTCCGGGTCTCCCACGCGGGTGCAGGGTCCCCAGGCTTTGGGCCGTCCTCCACTGCTGCCCAGGGTGTGTGCATCCACAGGGAGCTGGGCTGGGCAGGGAGGAACTCCTGCCCTTGGATGTGGCACGCATGTGGGTTCCCAGGAGAATCCTGCCCGCTAGGCTCAACACCTGCCTGGCTTCTGAACGGAGCCCGTCTGGTCGCGATTCGATCGGCCACGTCAGGAACCCAGGGGCTTGTCACTGCCCAGGATGGGCGCGCCAAGGGGGCCCTCTGCTCACGGGCTGCCGCTGAACAACAGCCTCACACACGAGCTACAAACAGGGAAGGATGCATTTCAACTACGCTTTATTAGCTTTCCGAGGGGTCAAAGTCAGGGCTTGCACCTCCCTCTGCCCCACCCCCACAAAGCGGGATGCTGGCTCGGGCGGGGAAAGGCGGTGTGGGTGGGGGGTCCAAAATGCTAGAGTTTCACAAAGGCACTGGCCCTTAGGCGTGGCAGGTGGGAGACGGGTGGGAGGCGTGGGGCACAGGGACTCCTTGTGGGGGGGGTGGCGGTAGTTAGCTCCAGAAAGTAAGGATTTTTCTGAGAGCCGCTGGGGGGGCTTAGGTAAGACCCTGAGTCGGTGGGCAGGGGGGTCCCAGAGGGAAGCCAGGAGCTCCCCGCCCACACACAGACGTGCGTGGGCAGGACAGAAAAGGACACGCAGGCTACGGTGGGCAGAGCACCGGGCCCACACCCCATCCAGGCGTGGACTGGGCCTGGCTACCCACCCCCCCCAGTCACTAGAGGGAACCCCAGCGTTTGGGGGGCATTTGGGGTTGCCAAAAGTCCTGAAGAATAAAAGCAAGGCGGACGGCGCACCGTGTGTGTGTGTGTGTGTGTGTGTGTGTGTGTAGGCGGGCACCTGTGCCAGCTGCCCAGACAGGGGTCTGGGGGAGACCAGCATTTCTTTATCCCGGAGGGCGGAGGGCTCAGCTGCTAGGAGGGGCAGGAAGGTCAAAGGTCAACTGTCTAGACATTGGCAATCCCAGCCCAGCAGCCCCTTCCTGCCTGGGGGGAGGGGTGCACACGCGCGCGCACATCCAGCTGGCCTCCCGTCCCCAGCACTTTGGGGTCCGCTTTCCCAAGAGCCAGACACACGGGGATTCCTGTCGTCGGCAGAGACACCTGCTATGAGCCACTTTCTGCCTGCCCCGGAGATTCCCACCTCTCTGTCTTCCCTTTTAGTCATCCCATCTGTCACTCGCGTCCTCGCCTGCTGACCCTCGGTGGCGGGGGGCTGTCCGGGGTAGGCATCAGCGTGCTGGTGCTCCCCCACCCAGTCCCCCGACATCTGCTTCTTGCCGGGACCCACCCCCGCATAGCAGCACTCCCCCCACCCCGTCACAACACTCAACTTGCCATCCCACCATGAATGCGCTCGCCACACACACCCCTCCCCTCTGCACCTGCTGCGTCCTTCCCCCACTGCACTCTGCTGTGCCCGTCCCCGCGTGCTCTGAGCCGGGCAGATGAGCCTGGCTCCTCGTTCCTCCGCATGAGTCACCTTAGAAAGCCAAGAACCCAGACGCAGACAGACACACCACCGCGCGGGACCAGCGGGGACGGATGGGGTCCACCACGGCGCTTGAAAACAATGATATGAAAATTAAAGGCGAAAGGTGTAAACAGGTTAGTAGGGAGTGAATGACACGCATAAAGAGCAGGTGCCTGACGGGATCCACGAGCAGGAGCTGCGGGCTCCCGGCTGGGGCAGGCAGGCACGCGCCAATGACACACACTCGACAATGACCGGACACTAACAGCAGAGTGGGGGACCCCGCAAAGAAGAGAAAGGGCGCAGTTCCCGTGGAGGGGGCTTGGGGGAGCCTGGTCTGGCCGCCCCCGGCCTCCCCTAACCGCCCCTACTTCCTCTCCCTTCCCAACTGGCCTGGACTGCTTTCAGAGCTCATGGGGACAGAGCCATGCAGAGCCTCCAGCTGCACCCACCAGGACAGGCGTCCACGGGGCAAGCAAGTGGGCCAGGAGTTGGGGTCCCCGCACGGGGCCCGGCTGAACGGGCATGCACAGCGGGGTCCAGGGGGAGGGGGCTGGCGTGGAGGGCACGGCAGACACGCTCCTGTTCACTTCACTTCCTGCAGGCCCCCCCACTGCCCCGTCCACGCTCAGTGCTCACCACCCCACTGGCACGCGTGCAGCCCTGGTGACGTAATGGCTACAATGATGACGATGATGATGCTGGAAAGAAAACACGACGGAGAGCTCCGGACTCGGGCACGCACGCACGCACGCACGCCCCTGGGGTCCAGTGCCCAGCACGTGGAAGGGGGCTGGGCGGGGCAGAAGGGCGGCGAACGGTTTCCCCCCAAAACGTGCAATACTGTTCTTCCCACGGCGTGATCCAGGTCAAAGTCCCCGGGAAAGATGGAACAACACTTGGCCTCGCGTGGGCTGCTCTCCCAAGGCCAGCAGACGTGAACACGTGCCGTTGGCTGTCGCCGGCCGCGCCTTCTGCTGAAACATGCCGGGACTTGACCCGGGCCAAGCGAGAGTCTGTCACACGCCAAGACAGGAACACACACACACACACACACACACACACACACACCCTGATCCAGGTAGAGACCCTGGGCTCGAGGGACCGGCCCCCCGCGTGGGCACCAAGGGGCCTTGACGGCGTCCCCACCCTCCCTGAGGAAAGGAGAGGGGATGCCACAGCCAAGCTCACACGCCCCTGGAGGATGCCCGTCCGCGGATTCGCGGGAGAGGGTCCGGCGGGCAGGCTTGCTCTCCAAGAGAGAAGAAAAGGTGAACGTGCTGACAGCGGTGGAGACGACGAGCCGGGGCTGCGTTCCCCCGCACACGGACGGACGAGCCTCAAGGTGTCTTCGCAGGAGGCTCCCCGTCTCGGGGCACGGGGTGCCCGCGCCCGCCCCGGGCTGGGGGGAGCTGGTGTTCCCGAGGTCGGGGAGGCGCGGGAGGAGGCGCGGGCCCCGGCAGCCGGCGGCCGTCAGTGATAGCAATCCGCTCTGTGGTCCGACTGCTCCAGGACCCCCAGCATCTCCTCGATGATGACGCGCAGCGCGCGGCCCAGCTGGTCGGCGTTGTACGGCTTGCCCAGCGGGGGCACGTGCACGAAGGCCGAGCGGCCGCGGCCCTGGTACAGCGACGTGTAGTACGTGAAGTCGCACAGGTACCTGAGCCGCCGGTGGGGCGGGGAGCGGGGGACAAAACAAAGCACAGGCTCTGGAGAGGCCACGGCCACGCGGGGCCACGGGAGCCACGGGAGCCACACGGGGCCACGCGGAGCCATGGGAGCCACGGGAGCCACGGGAGCCACGCGGAGCCACGGGAGCCACGCGGATGCAGATGCACGCGCCCCACGCCCACCCCTGCCGCTATGCACGCGTGGCCTCTCCCCTGGCCTGGTGGCTCTCACGGCTCACCCGGGATCCATTCCCAGCTCCGGCTTCCCGCCCAGCCCTGCCCTCCCCGGGAGGCAGCAGGGGACAGCCCACGTGCCTGCGGGTCACGCGGGGGAGACCCGCGCGGAGCTCCTGGCTCTGCTGCGTCCCACCCAGGCAAGCCCAGTCATTAGAAAGTGAACCAGCCGATGGAAGACACATCTCTCCCTCTCTTTTACTTTTTTTTTTTTTAAAGATTTATTTACTTTTGAGCCTGATACAGTAGCCTAGTGGCTAAAGTCCTCACCTTGCACATGCCAGGATCCCATATGGGCACCGGTTCTAATCCCGGCAGCTCCACTTCCCATCCAGCTCCCTGCCTGTGGCCTGGGAAAGCAGTGGAGGACGGCCCAAAGCCTTGGGAGACCCGGAAGAGCTCCTGGCTCCTGGCTTTGGATCGGCTCAGCAAAGTCAGATGTACAGAGAGGAGGAGAGACAGAGAGGAAGATCTTCCACCTGCTGGTTCACTCCCCAAGTGGCCAGAGCTGAGCCAGTCTGAAGCCAGGAGCCAGGACCTACCTGCCTGCGTCCTGGGATATGGTCACGGACACATCCAGCCCCAGCGTGGTGAGCCGCTCGCACACGGCGTCCATGTCGATGACGGAGTCGATGCTCTCGGGCCCGTCCTCCACGCAGCACTGCGAGCCGGGGCAGAAGCGGCAGTTGTCCAACCCCTTGTAGCCCTTGTTGTGGCCGCACTTCTCCAGCGTGACCGTGGTCGCCATGCCCGACACCCCGACGTGCACCACCAGCTGTAGGCAAACAGGGTTTACACTTAAACGCAGCTCTGTGCACCCTATCCCCGCCCGGCGGTCCTGGGGCTCCCCCTGCCTGGTGGTCCTGGGGCTCCCCCCGCGCCCGGAGGTCCTGGGGCTCCCCCCGTGCCTGGTGGTCCTGGGGCTGCCCTCGACTGGCAGTCCTGGGGCTCCCCCTGCCCGGTGGTCCTGGGGCTCCCCCCTGCCCGGTGGTCCTGGGGCTCCCCTCACCCCGGCGGTCCTGGGGCTCCCCCTGCGCCTGGTGGTCTTGGGGCTCCCCCTGCCCGGTGGTCCTGAGGCTACCCCCTGCCCGGTGGTCCTGGGGCTCCCCCCTGCCCGGTGGTCCTGGGGCTCCCCCTGCCTGGTGGTCCTGGGGCTCCCCCTGCCCGGCAGTCCTGGGGCTCCCCCTGCCTGGTGGTCCTGGGGCTCCCCCCGCCCGGCGGTCCTGGGGCTCCCCCCATGGGAACCTCAAACAGAACAAGGCAGAGGAAGCAGTGGTAAAGGCCCCAGGCCACAGCATGGTCTGGAGAGCCAAGCTGGATACAGTTTAACAAGTAAGCAGATAGTGTCTCCTTGGACTTTGCCTGCAGTTACAGTGGTTCTCTTTCTCCCTGCTGGAATATACCCTGCAGTCACCCTTGCAGAAAAGTATGTCCAGGGTGGGACACACACGGCCTGGGATGCTCGCCTCCACCACGAGCCTCCCCCTTCAGTGCCGTGCCGAGCCCAGCTGGGATGCCAAGGCGGGAACAAAGCTGGAGCCAGCCGTTCCTGCGGCACACCTTGTCAAAGGGGCGCGGGAGCGGAGGGGCGGCGGACGGGCCGGGGACGCTCACCTGCGGGCTGTGCTTCTCCCACAAGGCCGGGATGAGCTTCTGCACCGTCTGGTACTCCACGGGGATCTCATACACATGCAGGTCCACGCTGTCCCCGAGGCCCAGCTTCTCCAGCTCCTGCAAGCGACGAGAGAGAGGCGAGCGTGAGGGCGCAGGCCGGGGGCTGGAGAGACGACAGGTTCCCTGGGGACACGGCCACCCATCCTACCTCCTGCTCCTAAGCAGTTTTGGAGAGAGAGAGAACGCGTCCACCTGCTGGGTCACTCCCCGCATGCCCCCGGCAGCCAGGGCCGGGCCAGGCAGAAGCCAGGAACCAGCAGCTCGATCCGGGTGTCCCACAGACGGGAGAGGCCCCAGGCCACCACTGGAGCCTCCACTGCAGGTCCAGGATAAGCTGCCGCATGGGGACCCAGCACGGAGCTGGCTGGGGCACTGGTGCATCCCCCCTCTCTCTCTCTCTCCCTCTCTCTCTCTCTCTCTCTGGGGCATGGTGGTCCTCAGTGGCGTCTTTGGTAAGATGTGGTAACGGTCTGCCCCAGAAAACATCACCATGCGCCTGGAGAGGCCAGGCGTGGGTGGAAGAAATGAGCAGGAAAATCCACGCACGTCACTTTGTGTATGCCTGTCTTTGCTAGTTTATTCCCTAAGCGGGTACAAGAGCCGGGCCCGGCTGACGCCAGGAGCCAAGTGCTCCATCCGGGTCTCACACTGGGTACCAGGGACTGAAACCCCTGGACCATCTGCTGCTGCTTTCCCGGGACCGGGAGCTGGCAAATCCAGAGAGACAGAAAGACGAGGGGTGGGCGTTGAGGAGGGAGTGTGGGAAGGGGGACGGGATGGGGGGCGCAATGGGCACATTTCAGAATCGCACACAGGTGACGTCTGAACGTCCTGTCACACACTGAGCTACGCCCTGCACAGGGTGGTGGGCTGTGTGCTGCATGACCACTGCCCAGCACAATCCTACCCCAGCCTTGAACGCGGGGATCCAAGGGGTGAGAATGGTGGCTCAACAGCTAAGCATCCGCTTACATGTGCCGGCATCCCACATGGGTGCCAGTTCTAATCCCAGCTGCTCCACTTCCCATCCAGCTCCCCGAATGTGGCCTGGGAAAGCAGTGGAGGACGGCCCACAGCCTGGGGACCCTGCACCCGCGTGGGAGACACAGCAGAAGCTCCTGGCTCCTGCTTTGGATCAGCTCAGCTGTGACCACTGCAGTCCCTGGGGGAGTGAATCATCGGATGGAAGATCTTCCTCTCTGTCTGCTCCTCTCTGTATAACTGACTTTGAAATAAAAAATGAAGAAATCTTAAAAAAATTTTTTTTTAAACAACAGGTAAAGCACTCTCAGATAAACAGCTGATTTACCCAAACAATACCTGGAATGGAAAAGCAAAAGGCAGATTACAGAGATGGTGGGGGTGGGGGGACACGGGGACCACGGGAAGGGACTGGCCCGGTGACATGCAGGTGCCCTGTGTGTCTATGTGAAGGTGGCCGGGAGGCAGCCGAGCTGGCCACGCACCCTGAATGGCAGGGTGGAGAGTGAGGGCGCTGCCCGGGCCCTGCACAGACGCCAGCAGGTACCCAGCCAAGCTCAGGTATCCTGAGGCAACTCAGCCCTCGGCCAACGTCCTCACGCGCCTGTCATGGCCATGGCATGGACTGCGCAAACATCCGCAAGGGATGCGTCACGGGTCAGTCACCCCACGTGGCCTCCTCACGCCAGGAAGACCGGAAACGGAAGATGGCAAGGGGAATTCCAGCCGGGCGTGGGGGTTAAGAGAACACGTGGGAAACCCACATCCCATATCAGAGACCGGGGTTCGAGTCCCGGCAGCGCCACTTCCCATCCAGCTCCCTGCCTGTGGCCTGGGAAAGCAGTGGAGGACGGCCCAAAGCCTTGGGACCCTGCACCCATGTGGGAGACCTGGAAGAGGCTCCTGGCTCCTGGCTTCAGATCGGCTCAGCTCTGGTCGTCGCGGCCACTTGGGGAGGGAATAAGCACAAGTAGGGTTTAGGTGCCGCAGGCCCTGGCGCCCCAGGCCAGCACAGCCTGGCAGCCAGGACTCCCAGAGCAGGGTGACCAGCTGCCACTCCAACAGGCAGGGGTCAAGGCCAGAGGCCCAGCTCAGAGCGACCCTAGCACCATCCGCTGGGGGGGCAACCAGCCGCCTACATCTAGCAATCTACATCCTGTTTGAAAGGCAGAGAGAGAGAGACAGGGCTTCCATGTGCTGGCTTGTTCCCCAGATGCCTACGACAGCCAGGGCTGGGAGCCGGGAGCTCCATCCGGGACTTCCCAGCACTGGGGCCACCTGCCGCGGCCACCAGGGCGTGCACGTGCAGCGAGCTGCTTGGGAGCTGCGCGAGGACTCTGACCCAGGCTCTCTGATCTGGGCTGTGCGTGTCGTGGCTGTATCCACCACCTGCCCCTTTCTGCAGGTTTATTCTGTTTCAGGTGTGGGGGAAGGGTCCCTAGTGGCTCATTTGCTCCCATGCAACACAAGGCAGGAAAGACAGCTGACACAGGCGGGCACGGAGGAGGTGACACTGTGACACTGTGGGCAGTGGCCAAGGCACAGGATAGGGGCCAAGTGGGAGCATGGCGACGCCAGGGACCAGGGCCAGCGAGGGCCGGCACAGCCACTTGTCACCAAGGCGAGAGGGCAGGGTATTCCTCACATCTCCGAGGAGCGGGTGTGGGGAGCCGGGCGCCCCAAGTCCCAAGGCTGCCTTGCCCGGCCGCTGGGAAAGGAGCCGGCTCAGTGCCCCAGACAGCACGCTGTCTGCCGCGTCTACCTGACAGGGCTGCACGGCGGAACACTGCCGCCTCTGACCGCCTCCCTGACCCCCGAAGAAAGGCCCTCTTTGTTCTCCGGTAATATCCTTGGCAGGTCTGTCTAGACGTGCCGTGCGGTCACGGTCCGTGATGTCACCGCATCCTGTGACCCTCGCTCCCCCACCCACACTCACCAGTTGGGGCAGGGCTGTCCACGGAGCCTGGGAGCTAGCAGCTCACCTGAGCCGGCCAGGGCCACGCCTAGGGGCAGTCCCCCTCAGTTAGGGGACAGTCCCCCTGGCGGAGGGCTGGGAAGGCCGACTCACTGGGCCCTGGGGCAGCCATTGTCCCCTTCGGGGGGGGGCACAAAGGAAGAAGGTGGGCGAAGGGGGCAGGAGATAAGGGGAGACCCTCCCCCCTCACACACACAAACATACATAGGGCAGCGGGGTGGGATGGAGAGAGAAAGAAGATGGAGAAATGGGGAGATGGGAAGATGGAGAAAGAGAAGAGAGGGAGGGAGAGAGGGGGAGAAGTGGGGGGAGAGGTGGGGGGAGAGAGGGGGAGAGGTGGGGGGAGAGAGGGGGGAGTGGTGGGGGAGAGGGGGGAGAGGTGGGGGGAGAAGGGGAGAGGTAGGAGGGGCAGAGCGCGAGCGAGAAACTAAAAGTGAAAAAGACACAACCAGAAGAGGAACAGAGAAACGATGGGGAGGGACCAGACGGGGTGGCCTGAAGGGACAGACATGGACAGGGTGGGGCGGGAGTGGGCGGAGAAGCGGGGGTGGGGAAGGAGATGGGCCGCCTGGGGTCGGGAGGTGGCTGTGGGCTCTCGGGGAGATGACCACGGCCATGCGGTGGCCTGCCACTCCAAGACCACCCCCCAAACCACCAAGAGCCTTCTCCATGGGCTCCCACACCCGGCCCCTGGGGTCACAGGCCATGACACAGACAGGGAGACAACAACCCAGGACATTCCTAGGCCATCTCACCCTGTGGTGTCAGCATCCCATATGAGCACCGGTTCTAATCCCGGCTGCTCCATTTCCCATCCAGCTCCCTGCCTGTGGCCTGGGAAAGCAGTGGAGGACGGCCCAAAGCCTTGGGACCCTGCACCTGCATGGGAGACCCGGAAGAGGCTCCTGGCTCCTGGCTTGGGATTGGCTCAGCTCCGGCCATTGCAGCTATCTGGGGGAGTAAACCAATGGATGGAAGATTCTGTGTCACTCTGACTTTTAAATAATCACTTTTTTAAAGGAGGGCATTGGCCTGAGGGGTTAGGGTGCCTCGGCACACCCTGGGGGGCAGCGGGGGATGGTCCTGTTGGGGTTCGGAAGGAACTCCTGGTCCCCACTGTTGGTCCCGCCTGCTCCTGGCTGCTGTGGGCACCTGGGAACGAGGCTGCAGGTGAGTTCCGTCCGCATGCATCTGTCTAGCGTCTTTGTAGCAAGAATAAAGCGAGACAGGCAGGTGGCAGGGAACTGGCAGCCGTCTTCCAGTGCGAGAATGGTGCACAACTCTTTCTCTGGCTTGACAAAGCCCCCAGAGCCGCCGTCTCAGTGGCAGCCAGGTCTGGGGAGCCGAGCAGCCCAAGTTCAAGGGGCTCTCCTCCCCCTGCCCGGCCCCACCCGCCAGACCCCAAGATTTCCCAAGATGGTTTAATTGATTTTCTTGTGCTATTTACATGCAGATGGACGTGTCTGGAGCCCAGGAATTCAGACACTGGGCATTGTGTGCGCCCGGCCCCCGTGGAGGCTGCTGTCTGGAAGTTTTCCCGACACACACAGACACGCTGGGCCCTTTTGTCAGTGCCTGGGGTGGGGGGCGGGAGGCAGGCGGGCCTCAGACACGCTCCCATCTGCAGGGACCCCGGCCCCCCTTCTGCGTGGAGATCTGCAGGCCCGGCCGTGGTTGGGGGTGGTGGGGAGGAATCCTGCAGGAGGGAGACAGCTGGCAGGGGCGGGGCGGGACGGGCACCCGGGGCCCTCCTCCTCCGGGACTCAGCGTAGCAGTGCAGGGGCCCAGGTAGACACGAGTGGAGCTTCTAAACCTCCCTCATTTCCGCCCCCGTACACCACACACATCCTCCATGGGCATGCTTCCTCCCACACGTGTCAAAGGCACATTTGGTCAGTCCCAGCTGGGCCCCTTTGGCAGCCAGGAGCCAGGAGTGTGTGTGTGTGTGTGTGTGTGTGTGTGTGTGTGTGAACTCTGATGATTTAGGAAAACGAGGAAAAACTCCCCATCGGGGCAGGAGGACCTAGGTCAAATCCCAGGCTGGTGGTGGGCAACCACGTGCCAGGAAATGTACGCCTGAATGCCTGGGCTCCCCTGGCCTGGAGTTGCAGCCTGACGGGGCACAGCTCCACCCACCAGGGCCTCAGCGAACCTGATTCATAGAGTGTGCACAAAAACAACGGGCCTGACCATGCAGGGGATTAAAAACAAAAATACAGACACAGGAGCAGAGCGAGCCGCAGTTCCTGTAACCCCAGGAGGGCGCGTGTGTGGCTCATCGCACGTACCTGCACCGCAATCCAGCTGGCATTCACCGTGTGCTCCCCAAAAGGCCCGAACCCTGAAAGCAGGAGCATACAAAACAGAATAACCAAAGCATGATCCCCAGCAGGTGCAACGCGAGAAGCCGCCAGGGCCACCTCCCCTCCCCGCTGCTCCGCCTGCCTGACCATGGTGCCCCAGCACCCGGGCCACGGCCTCCCACTTTGTCCAATGCTCTCAACAATCCTGATGCTTCTGCCACTTCTCCTCTGGCCCCCAGCTCCAGCCACGCCAAGCCCACCCAACAGCGCCCGGCCCCACCATATCCCTTCTATCCCTCTGTGTGTGTGTGTGTGCGTGCACAGGTGTGCGTGCAAGGCGGGAAGAGGGCTTGGCAAACATCTCTTCTGTGCCTTTTCCAGAAGCCCAGAGACATACAGCAAGCTGCCCAGAGACACACAGCAAAAAGTTATGAGAGCTGGAATTCAAAGCAGACCCTGCAGGAGCCTGGACAGAACACACACACGCCCCCACGGGCCAGTCCAGCTGAACACATGAGCCCCGGGACCACCCTGGGGTCTCTCCTCTCCCTCTTCACAGCCCCAGAGCTGCACACTTCCTGCCCCAGCAGCAGTTCTGGGAGCTTGGGTTTTCCTCCGTGTTTTTCTTTCTTTCTTTTTTTTTTTTTTTGCATAACTTGAGTCCCTAGGAGAACTCGAACAAGGGACAGTGGCGGGGTAACGGAGCAGAGCCTGGACAGCTGTGGGCCTGGCGACACCTCCTTGGCCCCACCCCCGCTCCTGGCCGACTGCACACACCTGTTATGGCCAGCCCCACCCTTGTTGACCAGCTGGGCTTGCTGTAATCTCGAGAACGACCCCCTCCACACACACACACTGAGCCCCCCATCCCACCCCCACCCCAGGAGGGCTACCACTTAGTGGGCAGGGGGGGGGGTTGGGATGGTGGTGACAATGGAGGGATCGGCCTGAACCTCAAAGAGCCCTGGCAAGTTCCCCACACTCTAAACCCGCTGCTGCCCCAGGGGGTCTGGGTGCAGCTCCCCCTCCAGCACCCCGTAAAAGGCAGGGCTGGAGGGTGCCCCAGATCCTCTGGGATCACTCCCTGTCCGCGCAGGCCAGGGGGTGCAAAGGTCAGGTGGCTCCCGGGCCAGGCAGCACCCCCTCGGCCCAGGGTCGGGGTGCAGCTCCCCTCGGCCCAGGGTCGGGGTGCAGCTCCCCCTCCAGCACCCCGTAAAAGGCAGCGGCTGCAGGCCGGGCTGGAAGGTGCCCAGGTCCCGCGGGGACACTCTGTCCCCGTGCAGGCCGGGGGCGCGAGGAGCAGGTGGCTGCCCGAGGGACACCCTGCACCGACCCCCACACACACACTCCCCGGGACCCCCACACCTCCCGTGGCACTTTCCGGGGCGTCCGGTCCCCGCCCGCCTACCGGTCACCACCACAGCCTTCCGGGGCTGCTCCATGGCGCCCTCGGGCTGCGCCTCCGCCCCGCGCGCACCGACTGACCGACCAACCGACTGACGCGGCCCAGTGTGGCGGCCAGGCGGGAGGGCGCGCAGGCCCCGCCCCCGGCGCAAGGCCCCGCCCCCGCCCCACGGACACGCCCCGGTCCGCAGGCCCCGCCCACGCCTGCCGGACACGCCCCGGTCCGCAGGCCCCGCCCACGCCTGCCGGACACGCCCCGCGAGGCCCCGCCCTCCACAAAGACGCAGCGTGCGCGGCCCCCGCCCACCAACGAGGCCACACCCCTCTCTTGCACTTCCTCATAGACGTAGCGTGTACGTCCCGCTCTGGCCCCGCCCCCGCTGCGTGCTTCCCCACCCCCATGCGCGCTCCGCCAGGCCCCGCCCATCACCACAGACCCCGCCTCCACTGCGTGTCTCGGCCCCGCCCATCGCTCTGTGCTGCACCAGCTCGGGTCCCCCCAGGACCCCAGCCAACCTCTCCCCGAGGACGTGGGGTCATGTCCCCCCAGATCCCAGGCCGGCCTCTCCCCGAGGACGTGGGGTCGTGTCCCCCAGGACCCCAGCCGACCTCTCCCCGGGGACGCGGGGTCGTGTCCCCCCAGGACCCCGGCCGATCTCTCCCCGGGGACGCGGGGTCGTGTCCCCCCAGGTCCCCGGCCAGGGCCTTGGCACCTGCTGTGCCCTGCCCAGGGCCTGGGGGAGCTGCAGGTCAGGCCGTCGTGGTGCCCTCTGCCCTTGGCTGTCGCCTCCTCCCAGGATCCCTTCCCACTCCCCTGGAGGGGTGACTGCGCTGAGGACCTGCAGGCCGGGGAGGTTGGGGTGTGGGGAGAGGAAAGCCCCCCAGAAGGAGTTTGTTTTCCTGTCCTGGAATTCGGGGTGGGCGGGAGGGGAACTGGCAAGGGGGGCTGCAGCCGGCTTGCGAGCTGCTTTCCCCGTCCGTGGCTGTTGGCAGAAGAGTGGCCACAGGCAGGGACCCTACTCTGACCTCTCAGGGTTCTTTCATTTGAAAGGCGGAATGACAGAGAAAGAGGATCTTCCACCTTGCTAGTTCACCTCCCCAAAACGCACAGAGGAGCCACAGCAGGACCAGGCTGCCGCCAGGAACCAGGAGCTCCTTCTGGGTCTCCCACGCGGCTGTCAAGAGTGCTTGAGCGGTCACAAGCTGGATTGCAAGGAGATGGGGCAGGTGGGACCTAAATCAGATTTCACAAGGAAAGTGGTTGGTATCCTAACTGCTGCACTAAACGCCTGTTCCCTAACCTAACCTTCCAGTTCCCACGAGGCTCTGTCTGCGGCGCAGGCTTTGCAACAATGTAACCAAAAGAAGCCAACTCGGGCAGGAGGAAGCCCAGGGGGGCTTAGGCCGCAACAAAGTAACTGGAAACCAAAACTGCACTTTAAAACAGTTACAGTGTAAAGCCTGGGGCAACAAAGTGGTCTGGTCAAGTTCAAGGCCCAACAGACAATTCTTTGAGGATCCAGTAATTCCAAGTACAGAATCCAAAGTCTGAGGCTGGTGTGGTGGCTTAACAGCCTAATCCTCTTCCTGCTAACGTCAGCATCCCATATGGGCGCCAGTTCTAATCCCGGCTGCGCCACTTCCCACCCAGCTCCCTGCCTGTGGCCTGGGAAAGCAGTGGAGGACGGCCCAGAGCCTGGGGACCTGCACCCGCGTGGGAGACGCCCTATGGGGTTCCAGGCCCAGCTCCTAGTCATCGTAGTCGTTTGGGGAGTGAACCAGCGGGATGGAAGATCTTCAAGCCGACCCGCTCGGGCTCCCAAGGCGAGCGAAAGACCTGCGGGGTGTCCACCTGCTTCGCGGGGCCTCCTCGGCCCCGGATGAGCCTCCTCGGCCCCGGATGAGCCTCCCCGGCCCCGGGGCGCCTCGAGGACAACGAGTCCACAGGTCTGACTCAACTTTCCTAAACTTCCTCCCCACAAGACGACAACAACAACAGAAGGGAAAAAAAAAACTTCCTGTCGGTTCGCAAGAACTTTCCCAAGGAGTGAGCAGCTGATTGGCTCAGACGGAGCCCACTCTGGACCAATCAGCACGCAGCCCCGAGCCACGGACGCCTCTGATTGGCTGCGCCGACGAGCTGCAGTGGCGGCGGCCGGCCACACGGGGTCGCCGGAGCAGCGGCTTCCCGGCGGCCGGAGCGTAGAAGCTTCTAGAATCCTATCGTCCTCAGGTGGCTGGGCGGAGCCACCAGCCACGGCGACTCGGGGGGCGGGCGGGCTGGGGCAGCCGGCGCAGGGACGGTCCCCGCGTCTACACCGCCAGGACGCGGGCTCGGGAAGCGCGGAGGAGCGGACGAACGCGGTGACCGGCTGACCGGCCAAAGCACCGCTTCCGCCCTGTGGGAGACGCGCCAGAACTCCGCGGCGCATGCGCCAAGCCTCACCGCGGCGCCAGTGCGCATGCGCCCTGGCTTGCTCGGCCCTGTCCCTCCAGGATCCTAGTACGCATGAGCACTTGCCTTGCCACACCGTTCCTGCGCATGCGTTCTTCCGCCAGACGGTTCCAACATAAGGGCAGCCCGTCAGGATCCCCGTTGCGCCTGCGCGATGCCCCCCCCAACATGGCGTTGCTGCGCGTGATTGTCTGGCTCTGCTTCCCTGCCCCCTTTTGCAACCCTCCGCGGCGCTGCTTTACGGCCGCCGTCCCTGACGTCTGGGGCGGGATGGCCGTCGCCCCGCCCCTTGTCGATTATGATTGGTGGACCGTCTCTCGTGTCTTGCGGCGATTGGCCCGTGATCCTGCCACTCTTTTTCAGGCGTGTGGCGCGCACGGCGGGGCGGCAACCGGCGGGAACGGGAACGGCGACGGCGAGCGCGACGGCGGAAGTAGCCGGGAGCCGGGGTCCCCGCCGACACCATGGTGAGGGCCAGGGCGGCGGGAAGGTGTGGGGCCGGGGGTCCGTGTGCGGGTAAACTGAGGCCCGGGAGGCGGGGCCTCCGCAAGACGTGGTGTCTGCCGGTGTGCAGCTCCGTCCACCCCAGCCCAGCTCAGGCTGCACCGCCGTCCCCCGAGCCCAGCTCAGGCTGCACCGCCGTCCCCCCAGCCCAGCTCAGGCTGCACCGCCTGCTTTCTGGGTCTCCCACGCGGGTGCAGGGTCCCAAGGCTTTGGGCCGTCCTCCACTGCTTTCCCAGGCCACAGGCAGGGAGCTGGGTGAGAAGCAGGGCAGCCGGGATGTGCCCTGGCAGCACAAGATAGAGGATCGACCCTTGGAGCCACCACGCCCACCCTTCTCTGCATCTCTCCCCGACTGGCGTCCGGGGTTGCCCTGCATTCCGGCGTGTTTTCCAACCCACCCTCTTCCTTCCCTGGCCCACGGGGCAGGTGTCGCGCCCTCGCTGGGTGGTGCCCGCCCCCTTTCCCTCCTGTGTTTGTTAAGCAAATATTGACCAAGTGAGGCAGGTCCTGTCTGTCTCTGCTGCACCAGGCCCCCACGGGCCGGTGTGTGCTTGGCACTGGGCAAGGTCCACGCCCCACTGGGAGTTGTTCCTCTAGCCAGGGTAATAAACACAGAAGATAATTAGAGACCCCGGGGTCGGCCTGCCATGAAATAAGCAGCCAGGGCGGCTCAGGGTGGCCATTAGGAGGGCTGGGCTGGAGCAGGGTGACGTGTTAACAGCAACCCCGGAGGTCAGTGGGGAGGGGTGGGGGTGTCAGGGGCAAAGGTAAGGGGCACGAGCAGACGGGCAACCCTGGCAAGCCAGGGCTGTAACTTGCCCCCCGGGGTGGGGCCCCCCAATGTGGCTTGCCCAGCAGTTTCTGCTGCTTTAGGGCCCCTGGGGTGGGGTGGGGTGTAGTGGATCAGGGCACTGTGCCCTCCACTTACCCCCGCTGGCTGTCCCCTGCCCAGCAGGTGCGAGGTCCATGCTGCCATCAGCAGCCTTGCCACCTGTCCCGGTCAAACGGGTCACTGTGCCCTCCACCCCGCTTCCTGTGGTGGGGCCAAGGGCCCAGGTGTCACGTTCTGTCGGGCACAGGGACCACCCCCCCCCCCCGTGATTTCCCCACTGGCAGGTTCTCCAGCAGCCAGCAGGAGGCTCCTCTCTGGCAGAGCCCCCCTCACCATGCTGTCCCTTCTTCCTCCCACTTGGGCCCTTCCAGGAAGCCTGGGCCGGAAGTGGGCCCGGGCATGGCTTCCTGCCGCCCCCTGCCCTCCGTGGGGAAGCGCCTCTGGCGTCATGTGTTGGAGGAGGGGTGGGTGTCCCCACCCCTTTCCCTTGTGGCCCATCGCTGGAAAGCTGACAGTCCCTCGCGTGCTGGTCACCCCGGGAGGTGACAACGGCCAGCACCATGTCAGAAAAGCCAGGGATGGCGGGCAAAGAGGTGTTCTGGAGGCCCGCCTTATAAAGCTTGCATCAGCCGTTGCTTGCCCAAGCTAGGCTTTCCAGAATATTCCTCCAGTCTCCTCTCGTAAGCTTGTGTCTTCCAAGGCGGCTCTGTTTGAAAGTGAGGAAGAGGAAGCCGGCTGCCTCTTGGCTGGTTTGATTCCCCCCATTGCAAAAGCCAGGAGCTTCTTCCAGGTCTCCCACAGGGGTACAGGGTCCCCAGGCTTTGGGCCGTCCTCCACTGCTTTCCCAGGCCACAGGCAGGGAGCTGGATGGGAAGCGGGGCCTCCTGGACTTGAACCAGCACCTATACTGCAGGTGTGGGTGGTTTAGTCGGCAGCACTGCAGCCCCCTGAGCTGTCACCTTGTAACACTGGGTTCCTAGAGACCTCAGATTACATCTGGCCTCAGCCTCCGGCTGTCCCCCGCCATCCACAGGGGAGCCCTCACATACAGAATGCAGTGAAGCGGCTTCTTGGCCGGCCCCCCCCACTTCCCGTGCAGCTGCCTCCTCCGGCGCCTGCAAGGCCACGCATGAAGGCTGGCGTGGGTGGCTGGACCCCCATGCCCCCGGCAGGCCACTCGGATGGCGCACCAGGCTCCTGGTCCTTGTGGCCCTTTGGGGAGTGAACCAGCAGATTTTTTTTGTTTGTTTGTTTGGGTGTCACTCTTATCTTTTCCTTTGAAAGATGCTTAAGGCATGTTAAAACATGGCGTGGGGGGCTTGAAACAGTTGCTAGGAAATGTAAGGTTCAGTGTTTTGCTCCACTGTTGCAGGATTGATTGATTGATTTCCACTTTCCCTGACCCTTGTGTGTTTCTAGTTGCAGGTCAGCTAGCTCCTCCTCCCCAGCCATCTCCCCCAGATGTCAGCGGGAGCCAGGAGCTGCCTGGGGTCTCCCAGCTGGCTGGCAGGGACCTGTTCCCTCCTGGGGCGCCCAACTGCAGTGGGGGAGCTGGGTGGAGTTAAACCCAGGCATGTTGGGGGACCCCTCTAAAGCCGAGGGCCCACCCCTTAATATGACAACGTTTTGTTTCTGTTTGGATGGCAGAGCAGAGGGTGAGAGAGCCCCGTGGTGCAAACGGTGTCTGGGTGCCCTCAGACACTCAGTGCCAGGTGGAGGTACCCTGTCTATTAGGGAAGGAGTGGCAGGGGGCCCCGGTGGGCATTCCACAGTTGGTTCTGTCTGGCTGCAGGTGCCAGAGCCCGCGGGCGTGGTGAGGCCGGGCCACCACTGGGGGAGATGAGGCCTGGGGCCTGACAGGTCACACACATGCCCCCGGCCAGGGGCATCATGGCTCCACGGGTGGCGCAGGTGCCGGGCACCCAAGTCATGAGTGCCTGCTTGCCTTTCAGCTTCCCCTGTCATTGCTGAAGACGGCACAGAACCACCCCATGGTGAGTGTGCGGGGACGGGGATGGGGGCGCCCCTTGGAAGAGCGAATGTGTGCCTCCTAGAAGTGCCAGGCCTGCGTCGGACAGAAGCCCGCGTGCGCCCAGCGCCATGGCTCCCCTTAACTGACCCACCTGCCGCCCTGTCAGGGCACCCACGCGCGGGCCCTGGGGAGCAGGGCCTTGGGCTGGCTGTGTGCTGCGGGGTGCCCTTGTGCCTTGGAGGAACACGGAGGTTTCCGCCCACCATCGCGCCCCACAGCTGCCCATGGTGACGGGCTGCAGCGGGCATGGCCACCCGTGGAGATGTGGGAAAGGAGGCCTTCCAAGACGGCACAGGCAGCCCTGTGACATGCATGCACCTCACGCACACACACGCACACACCCCTCACGCTCACGCACACCCCTCACACACCCGCCCTGCTCCTCCCGCAGCTGGTGGAGCTGAAGAACGGGGAAACATACAACGGGCACCTGGTGAGCTGTGATAACTGGATGAACATCAACCTGCGCGAGGTCATCTGCACATCCAGGGTGAGCGGGCACGGGCGGGGCAGGGGGCACGGGCGGGGGCAGCGGGCGCGGGCAGGGGCACGGGCGGGGGCACGGGCGGGGGCAGCGGGCACCGGCAGGGACTCATGCCAAAGGACCCGAGGGTGTCGCCCTGGCAACTGCTGGCACCTTGCTGGCCTCCCTCCAGGCAGCGTACCGCTGCCGTCCCTGGGCTGGGCTGGGCTGGGGAGCAGTGGAAAGCCACCGGCAAGCTCGGGGATGTGAACCAGCAGGGAGGGGATGCGAGAGGACATGGCCGCCCCTGCCCATCCCACACTCTGCTCTGCCCCATCCCCCCGTCTGTCCTTGCCACTGCCAATGTGGAGCTGGGCTCCCAGGGGCTGCTGGCTGGTCGACACCCTTCCCCGGGCCCCAAGGAGAGAGTGACCCTAGCAGAGGGGAGGGCATAGGACAGGCCGAGTTCCAGGTGGCAGTTGCCGCCGGTGTCATGGCTAGGGCCCAGGAGACCCCAGGTCACCATCCCAGCCGGTGCCCTGCACTCAGAGAAGGCTCTAGAAAACAGGGACCGCGGGCAGGAGGGAGGAGCTGCCTGACGGAGGGCTGCCCCACCGGGACCAGTGCTGCTTCCGGCCTGGCCTGGGGCCTTGCCCGCTGAGCGCGAGTGTCCCCTTGCAGGACGGGGACAAGTTCTGGCGGATGCCGGAGTGCTACATCCGCGGCAGCACCATCAAGTACCTGCGCATCCCCGATGAGATCATCGACATGGTCAAGGAGGAGGTGCTGGCCAAGGGCCGCGGGCGCGGCGGCCTGCAGCAGCAGAAGCAGCAGAAGGGCCGCGGCATGGGCGGCGCGGGCCGAGGTGGGTGACGGGGCGAGGCTGGGCGGGCGGGCAGAGGGTCGTCAGCGCCTGTGGCCCACATCGCAGCCGGGCCGCTGGGCGCCTGGCCTGCTTCACCCTCCCCTTGCGGGGAGAGGGCTGGCCCTGGAGAAGCACGCTGCACCGCCGGCACCTGCTTTCCTGGCAGGCCTGGTGTGAAGGGGTGGGTGGCGCAGAGGCCTCCTGGGGTTCCCCCTGCCAGCCTCGGCCCTCACGGGGTCCAGGGATGGGGCGTTGTATACACCCCGTCCCATTGGGCCACCCCCATTTGTCCCTCTGGGCGGGCTGTGTGGCGGGGTGTTCTGTCACCACCACCTCGTAAATGATCTTTAGGAAACGGGACCCCTGCCTGGGGCTGCACACACCAGACACCCCCCTTTCTGTCTCTTAGGAGGCAAGCTTGAGGCCAGGCAGGGGCGGTGCTGGAGTGGGGTGCCCTCCCCCTCCCCCTGGAAGCCTTCCTGGCTTGCTTCTTCGTCCACCTTGTCACGTGAACACGTGCTTGCTGCCAAGCAGTCGGCCCTGGCGGCTGGATGCCGGGTCATGGGGTGGGGAGCTGGGGGGCGAACAGGTGCCCCCATCCTGGTGTCCACCACACACAGCGCCTTCCCCTGTGTGTGCCCACAGGTGTGTTTGGCGGCCGGGGCCGAGGTGGCATCCCTGGCACAGGCCGAGGGCAGCCCGAGAAGAAGCCAGGCCGGCAGGCGGGCAAGCAGTGAGAGCCCCCCACGGGTATCCCCAGAGACTGAGTGTTCCCCCAGCCCCCCGCCCTCCTGGTGGCCCCAGGACTGCTGGGAGGGGAAGGAGGGGGCGCCGCGGAACCCCTCACACCGGAAGCCTGCTGGGTGTTTACTGTTCTGCGAAGGCCTCGCTCCCCCAGGGCCAAGGCCGAAGCTGACGCGGGCTCCCTGCCCTCCCTGGCCTTGCGGCGCGCACACAGTGGGGGTCTGCATTTCCCGGGGTGCGTGAGGCCCCTCACACAGCCAAGCCTGGACAGCAGCCTAACCGGTGTCAGGGTCGCTAAACCCCAACCCCTCCCCGTGATGACTGCGGCGGCGGCAGCTTGAGCCCCCTGCCACCAGGCCTGGCCAGCTCCCTGCCCACCTCCTCCTCCTCCTGTTACAAGAATAAACCTATAGACCCACCTCGTCTCCGCTGCCGGGCGCTCCGCTCTCCTGCTGGACCCCCTTGCAACATGGGGCAGGTGGGGCGGAGACAGCAAAGGCAGGCCAAGGTGGGTTGGGGGTTGCCATTGTGGGGAGCCCCCTCTTCCTCACTGCAGCCAGCTGGGGTCCCTGGGGGCAGGCTTTCCCACAAGGCCCAAGGTCGCCATGGGCTGCCCCAGGTCTGCCCGGAGGTGGCCGCCCAGGGCCTCCCAGTTCAGTGTCTCCATGAGGGTCAGAGTTGTGGCCTTGTGGGTTAAGCCTCTGCCTCCCACCCATACAGGGTGCTGGGATCCCCTATCCACGACGATGCCACGTGCCCCACTTCCAGATCCCCTGCCCGGCCCTGGCCCTGGCCGGGAGTCAGCCAGCCGGTGGGAGCTCTCCCCTGCTGCTGCTCTTCCTCTGCGTCTCAGACAAATCCATTTAATGAAGAAAGAACGGAAGGTGTGGGAGAGGGCAGAGCTGGCCTGGGCCCGAGCAGGTGTGCTGAGCACGGAAGGGGCTGGGGGAGCAGGGCCAGGCCAGGGGTCACGCGTGGGCGTCTACCCGCATGTCTCCACACACGGGCGTGGGTGGTGATCCGCTGGGAGAGTGTCCTTGGTGAGCCCTGAGCCGCCTGGCCCTCCCTTGCCGCGTGGGCTGCAGCAGCCCCCACGCTGGTGGGACGGCCTTCCAGAAGCTTCCTTCCTGAGCGCACCACGGTGGTGGTGGCGGCGGGGACAGCCCCTGTCTCAGGCGGCCTCCCGGGGGCCTCATCCACGGGCCCCTCGGCGCAAGGGCAGGAGGAAGAAGCCAAGAAGCGAGCGTGTTGCTGGCTGCCTGGCAGAGTTCCCCAAGCCAGCAGCTTCTGGATCTTTCTGACTGTAAGCTGGGGTCCAGACCCACAGCACCTGCCTGGCCCCTGGGGGGTCGCCGTCCCCAGCCAGAGCACTGCGTGTTCCCAGGGTGGATGCTGGGGCCTCTGCCTGCCTGGATGAGGGGGAAGGGGCCAGGGCTCACCCCACCCCCACAGGCTGCACCCCCAGAAGGGAGGCAGGCACGGGTACGGATTTGTCTGTGCCCACCGCCACCGTGCTGGGCTCACCTCACAGCTAGCCCCGCCACCTCCCTCCCACATAGAACCTGTCACCAGGAGCACTGGGTCCCCCACCGCACCCAGTGCCCCTTCCCTGTGCAGGGCTGCCTGGCCCACTGGGGCCGCTTTCCCATCTCCCATTCTGGCCGGCCAAGGCCATGGAGCCTAGTAGACACTGGACAAAGGGGAGGGGGCGGGCCCTGCCGGGAAGCGGTGGGGAACCCAGTGCTCCTGGTGACAGGTTCTATGTGGGAGGGAGGTGGCGGGGCTAGCTGTGAGGTGAGCCCAGCACGGTGGCTAGGAGGCTGTCTCCAGAAAGCTGGGTACAAAGTCCCTGGGCACCTGAGGCCAGGCCTGAGAGAGGAGGCCAAAGGTCAGATCAGAGGATCCCCTTCCCCCCAGGCAGGCAGTGGTAAACAGTGACGGCCAGCGTGGGCCATCCCCGACCACCACTGTCCCCTGGTGCAGTGGGTGAGCAGGGAGATGGAGCAGCCCGCTGGGACTCGAACCCAGCACCCCAGACATACTCGGAGCCTCCGGTCTACAAAGGCAGAGAGGGTCAGCCGGTCTAGGCCAGTTTCCTAACTGGTGTGCAGCTCCCGGGGAGGGTGCCAGGCACCTGAGGACCACCCTTTCCTAGAGCAAGCGCTCATTAACGCGCAGGACGACACCCAGGAGGGAGGGAGCCTAGGCTGCAGCCTGGGGAAGGAGGAAGGGAGTGGACTGGCCTGCTGTCCAGCAGGGACCCTCCCCTGACACCCCGCGGGCCCAGCTCTCACTGTGGGCTGTCCCTCAGCCCACCCCTCCCGGGCCTGGCCTCCCCCACTCCCGCCCTCCACGGCTACCCTGCGGTGACTCAGTCGTGCCCCGCCTCCGCTGGCACTGGGCACCAGCGTGCTCCGGGAGTGGCCGTGGAAATATTTCAGGGTTGAATTCAGTGCCTAAAAATATTTAGCCTTGCTTGAGTCTCCCCTGTCCCTGCCGCCCCTTCGGCACCCCTAAGGGGGGAGGTCAGCCCCCTCCCTGCAGAACAAGGACTGCCCCAATGCCAAGACCAGAGTGAGGGCCACCACCCACCCCTGGGATACTGGGGGGCCCAGACACTCCCAGTCCTTCCCCAAGAGCTGCTATGTCCAACACCCCCAAGTCTTTGTTCCTGGGATGGTCTGGGAGAGACCCTTTGCCCCCTGCCTCGTCCATCCCTGTCCACCTCCTGGCCCTCCAGCAGGCCCCTCCCCCCGCCGCTGTCTTCTCGCTAACACAGACCTTGAACTTGAAAGCTGAGTCTCGTTCTCTGGGGTGGGCAGTGGCCAGCCCCCTGCAGCCAGGTCTCCCACGTGCCCAGCAGGGGCACCTGCTGCCTTCCCAGCGACATGAGCAGGGAGCCTGGAGGGAAGTGGAGCAAGTGGCCCTGGATGGGGACCACCCCATCACTCATATCCACTTCTGTTTCATGACCCCCAACTGGAAGCACACACAGATCCCTCCACCCCTCGCACCCCTGCCCTGGTTCTCCTGAGAGAGCAGTCAGCACTGCCCTGTGCGGATGTCTCCTCAAAGGTTCCCCTGCCCGCAGCCAAGAGCCGGGCACTCCAACCAAGTCGGCCTTCCCAGGAAACCAGGGGCGGGACTGGAGCCCAGGACCCTGGGAGACAGGTGTCTGTAACCGCTGAGCCCCGGGCAGACCCAGTCCACGGAGTCGCATAGATACTGGGTGAAGTACCGACTGTAGGGAGGGAGGGAGAGATGGCTGGGCCGGCTGGGTGAGGGTCATACCAACAGGAGGATGGAGGAAGACACAGGGCAGCCCTCAGGCCAGGGAACCTCACCTAGGCTCCACAGCCTCCTGACACCCGCCCTCCCCGACGTGGGGGTCGGGCAGGGTGCTGGGAGCTCACAGGTCCACCGAGGGGCGGTCGCCTGGGGACCAGATGCGGCTACCTGTCTCTCCTCTGGCTGAGTCAGTGTTGCCATGGTAACCTGGGCCCAGCCGGATGCGCCTCTGCAGCCTCGCAGCCACCCTCACGTCACCAACCGCCACCACCACCTCCTTCTGGGAGGTTGGGGTCAGGGGGCGGCTATTCTCAGGCAGGTTTTAGGTCAGAGGTTCCTCCCCCCCCCCCCGTATGTGCGTCTTCCTGAAGAGATGGGATGTGGTGTGGGGGAGGTGGGGGACAGTGGATCAGAGCCACAGCCTGTTGAGGGGCTGGGTGCCAATCCCGGGACAGGAGGGGCTTCGAGGCGGTGGGAGAGGGGGAGGCTGGGGGAGGCTGATCTGACACGACCCACCTGAGCTGCCCCACGCGCCCCTTCTCCTCTCGCAGCTTCCTGTAACAGCTAGCGGTCCGCCCCACCCCAGGGCCTTTGCATACCCAGTTCCCACCGGCCCCCTTCCCCCACCACACTTCCTCAAGTTGACTCTCAGTCGCCAACTCGCCCAGCTCCCCCTCCCGCCGCACTCGCGTCGCCCCGTGCTGTGTGCGGTCTCCCACGCACCCTCCCACGCACACAGCTCTGTGTGTGTCCCTGATATCCGCAGGTGGCCCAGCGCCGTGCAGGGGGCACCTGGACCAGGACGTGACCCAGGGCTGCAGGCACAGGCTGGGGAGGGGGCAGGTCCACGGGCAGCAGCAGGGGGTGCCTGGAGCTCCTAAATCCTTCTGCCTCCCCCTCTTGCTTTGTTGAATCCCTAATCCCGCCCCCCTGGCCGCCGCCTCTTCTCTAGCAGGTTATCTGTGTCCAGGCTTGGCCCAGAAACCCTGGGGCCAGCTAAAGGGCTGGACCTGCGGCCTGCCTGGGGCAGGAGGGGAGGGGGCGGGACTGGGCTCCTCCCGGGCCCTGGTGGAGAAGGGGTTAACAGCGCCCCTTCCTCCCTCTGCATTTAATTAACAGCCGAGCTGGGTCCGGAGGCCTGGGGAGGAGGCGGCGCAGGGGATGGGGCCGGTGGCGGGGTGGCGAGGACCCGAGCGGGGGTGGGGTGGGGCGCCAGGCTGGGCTTGAATCCCCGTTCTCCCCTCGTGTCACTCCCCCACCTCTCTCGGGCCGAGTCTGCCCGCGCGCCCCAATCCCTCATCGTCCTGCCGGGCAGAGACCCAGAGATGGGGGTCTGGGGTGATCGCTGCGGACCAGCGTGGCTGTCTCTGGGGGAGAGCTTCCTGTGCACCCCGAGCAAACCAAACCACGCTTCCTCCCCACCCCCAAATAAAGCACACCAGCGGCTCCTGGCACACTCCCGTGCAGCCTGGCCACACTCCCGTCCTGTGCCTCAGTATCCCTCCTGGACACAGCACCCAGGAAACCCGCCATCTCCCCCCAAACTCCCCCTATGCACCGGCCTCTACGCAGCCCCTCCTCGGCCTGGCGTCACCGCTGACGCCACCTGCTCCCCTCCGCGAGGCCCCCGGGCCGGCCGCCAGACGCGCCGGCCTTTAACTCCCGAGCTCCCACGGGCAAGACCCGCAGCTCGGCGGCCAGGGGCTGGGGAGCCCCCCGACGTGGGCTCCGTGGGCTGCGCCCCGGGGACTGTGCACCCCCACCGCGCCCGGAGCGCGCGTGCTGCTCGTCCCGGGCCAGTGTTTACTGCGCGCCCTTCCTCCCTCGAGCTGGCCCTGACCCCAGCCTGGCTGGGCGCGCCCGGCTGGATCGCTGGGGTGGGGAGTAAGGGGTGGGTCTCCTCCGTCCCCCACCCCCAGCAACTCGCGCATCTGCCCCCCACCCCCCCCACACACACTCAACTCCTTCGCCCCTTTTCCAAACGCCTGGACGTTGGGCGTACCTCCCTTGCACCCCGCCAGGCCCCCCAGCCCGCTGGCTCCCCGCGCCCTTCCTCCTCCCTCCGCCCGCCGGCACCCCGACTAGGCTGAGGGGGAAGGGGAGAGGACCCCGAAGCCCCGCCCTGTCCCAGGGGAAGTGAGACCGTAGTGAGGGGGTGCCCTCCCTAGCCTGCTAGCCACTTCCTCTCAGCCCTGGCAGCCACATGGGGAAGGCGGAGGAGGAGGGCAGGAAGCTGGCGGCCCGAGGCGGCCCTGCAGGCCTGGGGGCTCGGGGCTGAGTTGGGAGGGTTGGCCAAGTGGGGTCCACCTGCCCCGCTGGCTGGGACCCTATCTGGGCATCATGGATTGAGGAGGTGGGCTGGCTGCTGCGCACACACCAGCCTGGGACAGCACGCCCTCTCATCCTCCCCTTCCCCCCTCTGACCAAGGGGGGACTAGGCCTTTTGTAGAGGTGCGGCCCCCAGGCAGCCCAGCTACCCCAGCCACCGGACTCAGATCGGCTTCCCCAAGTTTGCAGTATGTGTTCGTCCCGCCGTTCTCGGCTCACCCGCTTGCTAAATGGGCACAGGTGTCTGCCTTGTGCTGAGGGTCTTGGCTGACCATGGGTCTCCTTGCTGAGCAGGATGGAGCCTGGCGCGTGCGTTCAACTCTCCATGGGTTGACTCATTAACTTGATCATTTCTGTATGTAAGATTCATTTATTTTTAAAATAGATTTATTTATATTGGAAAGGTAGATTTACAGAGAGAAGGAGAGAGAGAGTAAGATCTTCCTTCCGCTGATTCACTCCCCAAGTGGCCACAATGGCCAGAGCTGAGCCGATCCGAAGCCAGGAGACAGGAGCTTCTTCCGGGTCTCCCACGTGGGTGCAGGGTCCCAAGGCTTTGGGCCGTTCTCCGCTGCTTTCCCAGGCCACAGGCAGGGAGCTGGGTGGGAAGTGGAGCAGCTGGGACTCGAACTAACAGCAGTATAATGCTGGTGCCACAGGAGGCAAAATGAGCCAGTTGGCACCCTATTTCTTCTCCCAAACCCCAATATGTTAATCTGTTTCATTTGTGCTGCAATTGAAGTGCCCGATTACTGTTAGCAGCCAACAACAGGATCTGGGCCCCAGGATGGTGTCTGGGTGGGCACTGCCCTGGCCTCCAGACGCAGCAGGAACTTTGATGTTCTCCAGAAAGGTTCCCTGGGCTGGCTATGGCAGTGTCACCCCCGAGCCTCGGTCTGTTTCCCTGGAAATGGGTTGGCTCTCTTCAGAAACCCGAGCAGGTGCCAGCGAGGCACCCTTCCCCTTTCCTGAACAGCAGTGGTGAAGTGGGAGGGAAGGCAGTTGGCACCCTAGGGTTCCACATCCATACCCCCTGGCCTTGTTTGATGGAAATCTGTTGATTTTGAAGAGTTTGAGAGAGCGATGCTGCATCCACTAGTTTGTTCCCAGCACTGGGCCAGCCAGTGGAGGAGCCACCCCCAAGTGGGTACAGGGTCCAAGCACTTGGGCAGATCTTCCATCTGCTGGGTCACCCCTCCAATTCCTACAACCACCACAGGGTCAAGGGGGACGGGCAAAAGCAGGAGACAAGGCCTCCATCCGGGTCTCCCAGTCAGATGGCAGGGGCCCTCCCAGGGTGCACATGCGCAGCGAGCCGGCTAGCAAGCCAAGAGTCACGCACAGGAGGTGGGAAGTGAATGTCCCAGGCTGTGGCTTCCCCGTTGCTGCTTCCCGTCCTGGAGGAAGCTTCGGAGAGCCACCCAGGCGATCGTTGAGTCCATCAACACACACAGGACTGAGCCAGTCTTGGGGGGGGAGGGGTGTCTGTATGTAAGGGATCCTGGAATCTTCCAGAAGCTTGACCCACCCATTGCATCAACCCTAAGGAGGAACTGCTATCCACCCACAGGGCCCTGCGTGGTGTGTGCACACACGTGGGTGGGAGAGCACGTGTGTTAACAGTTGGAGGGTACTGAGCAAGCAGGAGCAGCACCGTGGTGGGGCGGAAGCCAGGGCAGAAAGAGGCTTTGGGGAGGCGGCCGCCCGCCTTCGCCTGCTGTAATCCGATCCCCAAGAATGTCTGGAGACCAGCCAGTGCCCCCCACCTGGGCCCGAGCCCCTCCCCTGGCAGCCCTGCTGAGCCCTGGGAGAGAGCTGCGGCCCCCGAGGGGGGAGGGGGCTGGTCCCTGCCAACCCTGTCCCCTCCCCCAGGGGTGGGCTGTGAGATCCAGCGGGCTGCCCCCTCCCTTCCAGCAGGGGAGGGCCCCTCGCCTGGCCTGCCTGCTGCTTTTGTCTTTCTCTGCCTAAAGCTGTGGGTTGTTGTTGTTTTAAGGATTTATTTCTGTCCACTGGAAAAGTAGATCCACAAAGGTCTTCCGTCTGATGGTTCACAAGTGGCCACGCCGGCCGGAGCTGAGCCTATCCGAAGCCAGGAGCCAGGAGCCTCTTCCGGTCTCCCCCGCGGGTGCAGGGGCCCAAGGCTGTGGGCCGTCCTCCACTGCTTTCCCAGGCCACAGGCAGGGAGCTGGGTGGGAAGTGGAGCTGCCGGGACAGGAACCAGTGGCCATATGGGATGGCAATGCTTGGAGGTGGAAGATTAGCCAGTTGAGCTATTGTGTCAGCCCCAACTTGTGGACTCTGCCACGGCCCTCCAGTTTGCAGCGTTCCGCGGCCAGATTTGCAGATACTGATGAATGAATGAACTGCCCTTTAGTCCATCCGATGGTAGTTAGTAAACCCATTCCGAGCTCAGCCCTGTGTTGTCCCCACCTTAGGTCTCCAGCACCCAGGGACAGCTTGGAGCATGCTGGCGGGCTTCCCAGCTGGGAAGAGGGGTCCCAGCACAGCGGGACCCCAGCCTGGCCAGCCCTTCTCTAGCCACGCCCCCACCTGTACCCACATAGCACTTTGCAGGTTCTTCCAAGGGCCCGGCAGCCGAGGTGGGGGGCTCGGCAGCCGAGGTGGGGGAGAGCCGAACTGGGGGCGAGCCGAGCTGGGGGAGAGCCGAGCTGGGGGAGAGCTGAGCTGGGGGAGAGCTGAGCTGGGGGAGAGCGGCTTGTTCCACCTGCAGGAGGGCGGGGGTGGAGCCCATATGGGATCCTGGTGCGTTCAAGGTGAGGACTTTAGCCGCTAAGCTATCGTGCTGGGCCCCACTCATTGCCTGTTTATTTCAGAGTCCAGCTGCTGGGGGCCAGGTGAGGGAGGGCCAGGAGTGTGTGTGTGTGTTCACACCTGCCAGCCACCCTAGGAGTGTCACCCATGGTGCACTGGGCCCTGGCAGGAAGCAGGGGGGTGCGATGGGGACCAGCAGTTCCAGGATGCACACCGCACATGGAAGGGCCCTGGGGTGGACAGAGCTGGGCCGGGATCCCCTGGGGACAGGAGGTCAGAGCGCGCGGGGTGGGGCAGGGCTAAGACGGGAACTCTGTCCTTGGAGGGCTGGGGAACCCAGGGCCTGGTTGGACTGTGGGTGTCAGTGAGGGGCCTCCCTTGCAGCCCGTTTTCATGGTGCCCATGATGCGACAATGACCGTGAGGGCAGCTCCAAGGCGCTCACTCTCCCAGCTGCCCAGAGAACCAGGCAGGGCAGACCCAGGGTGCAAAGTGTGGGCGGCCCAGCATGGGGGTGGGGTGCACCACGCCCAGGTGCTAGGGCCTGGGCCCGACTGCCCGCAGCCCTCGTGGAGCCGTGGAGCCGTGCACCTGGCTGGGCCTCAGTTGACCGTCTAGCAAGATGGACACCCTAGCTCTCCAGGTCATTGGTGGCAACTTCGGCACACGTTTCTCTCCCTCCACCCCGCAGCCCCCCAGTCTCTCCAAAGCCAAGGGGGCGGGACACACCCCCGCCCCACCAGGCCCTCGACCCACCATCCTGTTCTCAGGCCGCAGCTCGCACAAAGCCCCGGGCCGATGGCCGCTGAGGGAGGAACCGTTGGCGAAGTGGGGCGGGAGGCGCTCAGGGGTAATTTATCCCCGTCAGACCTCGTCCTCTTCCCACCCACCCACTCCCTCCTCGGGTCCCTTGGCGGCCGGCACCGCCTCCGCCCGGGTCCGGGGGGGACGCAGGGCGGAGCCTCGCGCGTCTGCTGGCCGGGCCCGTCACGCCACCCGGGACGTGCCTTGGCGCCGGGGAGGAGGCGGTGCGCCCCGATCCTCCCCTCTCCAAGTGCGCATCCCTGGACCTGGAGCGGTCACGGGGTGGGGTGGGGGAGACGGGGAAGAGCGCGGGGACCGGCCCCCCCATGACGTCAACCCACAAGGCCGCGCGCTGTTGTGCGGTTTACCGCGCGTCGCCGGGGCAACCGCGGCCGGGGTGGGGAGGAGGAGAGGGGTCCCGCCTCGCCGTGCAAAAGAGCGACGTCACCCATGGCCAATGGCGAGCGGGGGCGGTGAGCTCATCGCGCCGGGCCGAGGCTATAAGAGGGCGCTGGCTGGCGCGCCGCGGGCGCACGGAGCGGCCGCCAGCGGGAAGGGCCGGGCACATCGGCCGGGGGCCCCGAGCGGACGGACTCGGGGGGCCGGGGGGTGGGGGGAGCCCCCCGGGACGCCGCGGCCACTCCCCCCCCTGCGCCCGGGCCGGCGGAGGCGGAGAATGGAGACACCCTTCTACGGCGATGAGGCGCTGAGCGGCCTGGGCGGCGGCGGCGGTGCTGGCGGTGGTGCTGGCGGCGCCAGTGGCAGCGGCGGCGGTGCCGGAGGAGGCGGCAACTTTGGGGCCCCGGGCCGCCTGTTTCCCGGGGCGCCCCCGACGGCCGGCGCCGGCAGTATGCTCAAGAAGGACGCCTTGACGCTGAGCCTGAGCGAGCAGGTGGCGGCGGCGCTCAAGCCCGCTGCGCCCTCGGCCGCCCCGCCGCCCCCGGCCCCGCTGCGCGCCGACGGCGCCCCGAGCGCCTCGGCCCCGGACGGCCTGCTCGCCTCGCCCGACCTCGGACTGCTCAAGCTCGCCTCTCCGGAGCTCGAACGCCTCATCATCCAATCCAACGGGCTTGTGACCACCACGCCGACGAGCAGCCAGTTCCTTTACCCCAAAGTGGCGGCCAGCGAGGAGCAGGAGTTTGCCGAGGGCTTCGTCAAAGCGTTGGAGGACTTGCACAAGCAGAACCAGCTGGGCGCGGGCGCCGCCGCCGCCGCTGCCGCCGCCGCTGCTGCTGCTGCGGCCGCCGCCGCTGCCGCCGCCGCCGCCGGGGGGCCCTCCGGGACTGCGTCGGCCCCGGGCGCCGCGACCCCCGGCGAGCTGGCACCGGCGGCCGCCGCCTCCGAGGCGCCCGTCTACGCGAACCTGAGCAGCTACGCGGGCGGAGGAGGCGGCGGTGGAGGCGCCGGCAGCGCCGGGGGTGCGGCCTTCGGCGCCGACCCGGTGCCCTACCCGCCGCCGCCTCCTCCGGGCGCGCTGGGGCCGCCGCGCCTGGCCGCGCTCAAGGACGAACCGCAGACCGTGCCGGACGTGCCGAGTTTCGGCGACAGCCCGCCGCTCTCGCCCATCGACATGGACACCCAGGAACGCATCAAGGCGGAGCGCAAGCGGCTGCGCAACCGCATCGCCGCCTCCAAGTGCCGCAAACGCAAGCTGGAGCGCATCTCCCGCCTGGAGGAGAAAGTGAAGACCCTCAAGAGCCAGAACACCGAGCTGGCGTCCACGGCGAGCCTGCTGCGCGAGCAGGTGGCACAGCTCAAGCAGAAAGTCCTTAGCCACGTCAACAGCGGCTGCCAGCTGCTGCCCCAGCACCAGGTGCCCGCGTACTGAGCCCGCGCGGGGCGCATGCGCGGCCTCCGCCCGCTCTCTCCCTTCTCTCCCCCCTCCGAGAGGGGCGGACTCACCGGGGAGGGGGGCAGGAGGAGGAAGAGGAGGGGATGCAGCGCGTGGGCGCCTCGGACTCGGAGAGGGGTGCGGTCCTGGGGACCCTCCCCCTTCCTCGGCCCTGTATCACCGCCACCGGGTGCGCCGGACTGGAGAGGGCGCCCCCGGACTCGACAAGCTGGACCCCCTGCTCCTCGGGGGGGCGAGCGCATGACACCCCCCACTTGGCATCCTCGTGCTGCCGCTGGTTCCCACCCAGCCTCCGCCGCCACCGCCGTGCGCGCCCCCAGCCAGCCAGCCCACCCCCTTTCTGGGCACACCAGCGCTGCGGAAACGGGGGTGGGATGGGGCGGGGAGGGCGCAGCCTAAGCTCCTCTCCTCGCTTCCTTTTCTTTTTTCTTTTTAGTCTTTGGTTTTGTTGTTGTTGCCTTTGGAAGAGGAGGCCGGCGTGTTCGAAGCAGCCCTATTTATGTTTTTACTTGGGAACAAACGTTGGTTGTGTGTCTGCGCGCGCGTGTGCGTGTGTGCGTGCGTGTTTCCTTGTGTTGGGTTTTTTAAAGAAATGGGAAGAAGAAAAAAAAAAAAGACTCCTCCCCTTTCCCGGCCCGACTTCCGACGACGCCACCTTGAATCCCGTCCCCCCCTTTTTTTCTTTTCTCTCTGGTTTGGTTTGGTTTGGTTACATTCCTGTTGGTAATCCCTGACTCGCCCGTGTTCTGTTTTCAGTAAAGTCTCCTACGACACCTCGTGTCCTCTCCGCCTCCTGCGCCGTCGGGCTGGGCGGGCCTGGCCCTGGCTGTGCCCCTGACACCCCACGCTCTGCGCCCCACGCCCAGCCGGCTCCGCCCGGGCCGGGAGGGCTCCGCACATGGGGCGCGCGGCGAGCGCCCTCTAGGAGCGCACGGGGTTTCCGGCTTTGGTGTTGGGGTTGGGTGCAAACCCCAGGTCAGGACAGGAAAGAAACGCCACCTTTAGTGTAACTTTTGTCCCCGCGCCCCGGGGCATCTGTGTACCTGTGTGTGCAAAGGGCAGAGGACAAGGGAAAAAAATGATTGCGGGGTTGGAGATAGTTTTTGGCTGGTCTCCCGATGGCTTTGCAGGTGGAACTGATGTTTTCTTTTGGAGGGGGCGGGCAGGGTGTGCCCGGATTCCTGGAGGCCAAAGGTTAGGGGAGGCCCTGGCTCGGAGTGTGCAGGTGTGGCTGCGTGGACTTTGCCCCCAACATTCATGTATTCAGGAAGCTGTGAAGTTGGGGTCACCACAAACCTTGTCCACAGCCTGCCCGCCTTGCCCACGTCCGGCGGCCTTGGCTGGAAGCCCTGAGGCGGCTGGGGGCTGCTGACTGGCCTGGGGACCAGAGGAGAAGGTGCAGAGACGGCTCTTCCAGCTGCTGGTTCAATCCCTAAATGGTGACATTGTTGGAAGCTAAGGGCTCCATCCGGGTCTCCCACTTGGGTGCAGGGACCAAAGCCCTTGGCCATTCCAGGCGCGTGAGCAGGGAGCTGGATGGGGGTGGAGCAGCCCTGATGTGGGATGCTGGCCCGTACGTAGCGGCTGCCGCACTGGCTGTTCCACAATGCCAGGCCCTGTGTACCAATGCAGGCCTTGCCAGGCCTCAGGGAAGCCCCGTTGTGCAGGCAAGACAAGTGCCCCCTCTGCTGTCCCCCACCCCACCCGGTACCATCTATGCTCTCCCAGGTCAGGAGGCAGCAGCCCGGGCTGAGCCACGTCCAGTGATGTGTATTAGCTGGTGAGACTACAAGTTTTAGAGTTATTTGAAAGAAGTCTTCCATCTGCTGGTTCACTCCCCAAATGGCCACAATGGCTGGAGCTGAGCTGATCTGAAGCCAGGAGCCAGGAGCCTCTCCTGGGTCCCCCACACGGGTGCAGGGCCGTCCTCCGCTGCTTTCCCAGGCCACAGGCAGGGAGCTGGGTGGGAAGCAGGGCAGCCGGGACACAAAGCGGCGCCCAGATGGGATGCTGGCACTGCAGGGGACGTTGTAAGTTGCTATAGCTCAGTACCAACCGTACAGGGGAGACGCTTCCCACAAAAAGGGGCTCCCCAGCGGCTGTGGTGCCAGCCAGCCAGAGGGGGTGTTTTTAAAGAGACACGCTTGATGCTAAGTTGAATAGTAAGTCTGCCCTGCCAGTGTCCTCCCCAGAGCCCACCCCCAGGGACCTCCTGCCACCTCCAGGAAGTCGGCTCACCCCGTGGCTCCTCAGCCCTGTCCAGTGTGGCTCAAAGCGCCTTTTCCATCCTGTGCAGAAAGCTGGGGGTCCGAGTTGGGGTCCCCACTGAGAGGCCTAGACCCCTGCTGCGTCCCCCTGAGGGTGCGGGAGAGTTCCAGGCAGCCCGGGCTGTGTGACTTGGGCCCCAGCCTGCTGTGTGTCAGCCCCAGCGGTGACTCACACTGGGCTGCACTCCAGCCCGGCAGGCGGCGGCCCTGGGGCCCCGCGGCCAAGGGCTGCAGCTTGAGGCAACGCCCACTGCACCCCCACCTTCAGGGTCCCCCTTCTGCCTCCCCGGGACACCGCTCAAGGCCCCCATCTCCCTCCTGGCTCCGCTTCAGCCCCCTTGGTCGGTGTCCCCTGGTCACGGGCACTGCCCCTCACTTCTCTGTACGCAGGGCCCACTGCCTTGGGGCGTCTCCCTGTCATTACCCCCCTTAGCCCCTTCCTCCCTCTCCCTGCTCAGCTGTATGGTTTGTTTCTACTTAACAGACCCTCTGCCTCTCCCAGCCAGACCAGGGCAGATCTGCGTGTACAGTAGGCACTCAACCGTTGCTCAAGGTGTGACAGACTGACTGCCTGTGGGTCCAGGCGGGGGTGGGGGTGGGGGTGGAGGGAACGAGCCAGCATGGCCACCACGGCCATAGCTTCAACCCTACCCCGCCCCACCCCCTCCCTCCTGGTCGGGCCTTCTAGAACTCCCTGGCGCTCCTTGGAGCCGTTGGGGGATTGGTTGGCGCATGTTCTGAGGTCACAAAGGCGCCGTGGCACCGGGGTCCCGAGGCTGACCATTCGGGCCGGTGGGTTTGGCTTCGGGGCAGGTGAGTAGGGCTCGGGGAGGTGTGGACACAAGGGCTGTTGGCTTTATCCTCTGCTCCCCGGAGCTGTGAGGGGGTTCCTCCTCTTTGTTGACTCAGTTCATCCTGAGGAATTTGCCACATCTGCCTTGGGGGACAGTGAGGCTGCACCAGAGTCCCGGGGCCTGGTCCCAGCGGGGGAGGGACAGGGAGGAGGTCCCTCAGCCTCTTCCCACGCCCTGTCCTGTCGGAGACCTGCCTAAAGGGGTCTGAGGAAACACGGGTTTATCAGCGGCTATGATGTCAAGCTGAAGGTCCCAGTTGGATGCTTTGGTGGGGGGGTGTGACCACCTCAAGGCAGCAGGTTGGGACCTGGAAGCCACACAAGGCCGTGACCCCAGTGGCTGCAGCAGAGGGAGGGCGGAGAGGGAAGTTTAATCCCACCCCAACACATGGCGTCCTCACATTCTGTCCTCCTGTCCTCCCCACCGCCGTCAGTGGGTAATAAATGTTGAATGAATGAAGGGGCCTGCAGATTCGTGGCTCAACGAAGACGCCGAACACTCCCCCAGCGGGACTCGAACCCGGGGCCTGTGCCTCTGTGCCTCTGGCTTGCTAGGGTCTCCTGGGGTGGGTGAAAGCTCTTCCTGCCTCAGGAAGCCATACTCCAGGCGAGCTGGCTCTCGGCCCTCCCTGCCAGCCCTGGCACTGGGCACAGTGGTTAAGACAGAGTGAGGTCCCCCGCCTGATCCCCGAGTGCCTCCTGGGAAGAAACAGCAGGGAGCTGGTTCAAGTGCTCGGGTCCCCCCTGCCACCCACGCGGGGAGAGCCCGGATGGAGCGCCTGGCTGCTTGACTCTCTGAAATAAAAAGAATAATAAACATAAGGGCGGTAGCTCCTTTGCGATCCTGGCAGACACACGAGCCCCTCTCCTCTCCCACTCTGGCTCGTCTTGTTCCCCTGATGGGCACCTTGACCGTGGGGAGGCGGGGGGAGCTTCCCCTTTCCCCACAACATCTGTGCCCTCCCTGGGGGCCCGCAGCTCCCTGAACTGGGTCGGGGCTGAGCCCTGACCCGCAGTCAACCAGTGACAATAATTGGTGATTGTGAGCAAGCTGGGGCCCCTCCCACCGCACAGGGGAGGAGCCTCCTAGTTGCCCCACCCCACCCCAGCCTGCACACACACACACAAACACACACACACACACACGAAGAGGAATGAAATTCCCCACTAAGATGGGCAAGGGGCTACCCTGCTGACCCCCCACGTCGCCTGCTGCTCGAGTGCCCAAGCCAGGGGTGTCTCATGGGCCTGGGAGGGCGACGGTCCCCCTCCAGGGCAGTGAGCACCCCTGGGCCCCCTTTCCCTGACAAACACTTCCGGATTTGAGAATTTTACCTGGGGCTGCCTCTGCTGACGCCAGACAAGCCAGAGCTACACGTAAGAGCTTACGTGTGTGGCTCCACTGTGCACCTGCTCACGCACGCCGGGCAGGTAACCACCCCAAATATTTAGAGAGAGGGGCTGCTGCTTCACTGTCCAGATGGCCAAGCCAGAGAGCTGGGATCTCCCACGTACTGAGGTCCCACTTTGGCTCGCCATTCCAACTCCCTGATTGTTACCATACACACCCACACACCCCTGGGAGGCAGTGCGTGCTGGCTCCGGGTACTGCCACCGAGGTGGGAGAGCCGGATGGCGGCCCTGGCTCTTGACCCAGCCTGCCCCAGCCCTGACCTCAGTGGCCATTTGGAGAGGGAGCTGGCGGATGGACCATCTTTCCACGAGAAGGAAGGAATTCTTAGCAGTTTTCGTTGGGCGCGATGCTAAGATTTCTCACTAGAGGGCGCCGGCGAGCCAAGCGTCCAGAACGCTTCCCCAGCAGGTGTTTCTCTGCCGGCAACTTGGATGGAAAGTTCTGGGTAGTTCTCTCTGTATTTCAAACCACAGCCCCCATGGCAGCCCACGCACCTGGAAGCCACCTGCCCTGACTCGGGTGGTCACAGATCGGGCATCCCAGGGCTGCCTCAGCCCACCACGTCTTTGCCCCCTTTGGCCAACAGACCACGGAGTCTCCAAGGAGAGCTGAGTCCCTCCCACATTTGCCTGCTTGAGGACTGTGTAGACTTTCCTTTCTGTTTGTTTAGATGTGTGTATTATTTATTTGAAAGGCAGAGTTAACAAATCTTCCATCGCTGGTTCATTTTCCCAAATGCCCACAATATCCAGGACGTGTGAAGCCAGGAGCCAGAATACTTCCTCGGGGTCTCTCAGATGGGTACAAGGTCACCAGGCACTTGGGCCGTCCTCTGCTGCTTTCCCAAGTGCACAAGCAGTGAGATGGATGGGAAGCGGAGCAGCCGGGACTCAAACCGGCATCCATATAGCATGCCAGCTTGCAGGAAGAGGAGCCCTTTTTCCATGGGCCATCTCTGGCTGTTCTGTGTTGTGTCTAACTCAAGTCCCCCTGGGGTGAGCCTGCTGGTGTCTCCCTGCTCCTAACACTCCGTCTTTGGTTGCTGCAGAGCACAGAGCCAGCCCAGAGCGGTGTTGCTGCACGTGGTGGGGAATGAAGAGCTGAAGCCTGCCTCCTCCTCCGGGCTCATCTAATCCTCCAACTCTATGAACTTCCAAGGTAAGACGGTGCCAGGGCTAGGGGGCCAGTTTCTCCAGCCCCAAGGGGGTGTGCCTCCCACTCCAACATGGACATACCCCAGTTCATGTGCACCCCAGGGCTGCAGAATACTGTCCCGGCTCTCTCCATACTCAAGGGACCTCTGAAAGCTAGTTGTATCCTTTCAACGTCTACCATGTATTCACTGACCCATCCAGCCAGCCACCCATCCACCCATTCACCCATTCACCTATCCACCCATCTACCCACCCATCCATCCACCCACCCACCCATCCATCCACCCACCCACCCATCTGTCTACCCACCCACCCATCCATCCACCCACCCACCCATCTGTCTACCCACCCACCCATCCATCCACCCATCCACCCATCCACCCATCCACCCATCCACTCATCCATCCATTCCCCCATCTATGCACCCATCCATCATCTTGTTCATTCTCACTTCCCATCATTCACATTTCCATCTGTACCCCCTTCCTCCTTCCCTCCCTCCATTCCCTCCCCACAGATAGAACTGACCTACCCCAGCACCAAAACAATGCAACCAGCAACACAGCTTCGGTTCACCAGCCAGCCATCACCCAATGGGCAGTGCTTCCTGTTGCCCCAGTCCACCCCTAGTCTCCAAGACAAAGAGGGGAGACCCACACCACAGCCCCAGCATGAGCCCCACCAATCCAAGGAGCATCTCCCACCACCGCCGGCCCAGGACAAGACAGCGGCCTCCCCGCCACACCGCATCCCGCGCCTGCGCAAGGTGGTCGAGAGCCAGGCCTTCAAGAACATCCTGGTGGACGAAATGGACATGATGTTGTCACGGGCGGCCACTCTCATCCAGGCCAACTGGAGGGGGTACCAGCTCCGGCAGAAGCTCATCTCTCAGATGATGGCGGCCAAGGCCATCCAGGAGGCGTGGCGCCGCTTTAACACCAAGCGCATCCTGCGGTCCAGCAAGGCGGTGGTGAAGAAAGCGGCCGCCGAGGAAGCTGACATCCCGTACCATCCCCCTCAGCAGGTGCGTTTCCAGCACCTGGAGGGCAGTCAGGCCCGGCCAAAGCAGCCCATCATGGTTAGCAAAGAGACTCAGTTCCCGTCCTCCGACAGCTTGGCCACCTGCGCCCCTCAGATGTCCCATATTTGCACCACCCCCTCCCAGCGCGCCCCAGAGCCGGCCCCCTGTGCCCCGGGAGTCGCCGGAGTGGCCTTCCTGCCACACCAGACCGTCGCCATCAGATTTCCATGTCCGATGAGTTTCAGTTCCAAATACCAACCGTGTCTGCTGACGGAGACCGTGCAGAGTGCCTGCCTCGTCCGGCACATGGAAGGGGACACCCTGAGAGCAAGGCACGTGACGGCACGTGACGGCAAGCCCGCGCCTTGCCCTCGGTATGGGCAGACAGCCGCCACCCAGGCCCACATGGACACGGAGATCTTCAAGGTCACGCCCGCCCCGTGTCCCTGCCCCACGTCCATGGCCACCAGGCCTCCACCCAAGATCTACCCAACCTGCGTTGCCACCACCAAGGCCTTGGGAAAGAACTATGCTGTGCCCACCATGACAGTCGTGAAGCCCCTGCCCCAGCCGTGCCCGGCGCCCACATTGACCAAAACCCAGGTCCGGCCCATTGCCTCACAGACAAGCAACCCCCCACCGACACGCCCGGCTGGCCTCATGGCCAAGATCCCGCCCCAAGTGTGCCTGCTGGCATCCATGCTCAAATCTCCGCCCCAGGCCCGCCCGCCAGCCGCCTCCAAGGTGCCTCCCCACGCATACCCAGTGCCCGTGGTGCCCAAGTCTTCGCCCCACATACGCCTGGCGACCGCCCCTGCCAAAAGTCCCCTCCAGCCGCCGTGTCACGTGACTGCCGTACCCAAGACCCCCTCCCAGACCTGCCCCTCGGGCTCCTCCATGGCCAAGCCCCCGCCCCAGACGCGCCTGGCCGCCATGATCAACAAGACACCCGCCCAGATCCGCTCGGTGGCCGCCGTCCTAAAGACACTCTGTATGACTCCCCCCGCTGTGGCAGCCAGCAACCTCAAAACCACCCCACAGGCCGGCACAGCCGCTGGGTTCCCTGGCACCGCGTCCCACATCCACCTGAGCCTCCCCAAGACCAAAGTCACGGTCAACGTGAAGCAGACAGCAGGAGCTATTAAGCTGTCCTCGCATTCCTGTTTAGCCGAGGGCAAGAACAAGGCCCCGGGCCGCCCGCCACATCCAGAAGCTGCAGCCCCCAAGACGGTGCCTCCAGCGAGCGAGAAGGTTAAAGTGTGCCCCACGCAGAGGCACATGAAGACGGAGACGGTCGTGTCCAAGACCAACGTGGCCGTGACCAGGCCTACGTCCTGGACCAAAGTGGCCGAGGCCCGGAGCAAACCCCCGCCCGTGCAGACACACACGACAGCTGAAGTCGTGAAGGTCCAGTCGCAGGTGTATGTGCCCGCAGAAGTGGCCATGACCCTGCCACAACCGCAGCTGGCCATCCCGTTGACCAAGGAGGCCCTGTCTCAGACGCACTTGACCTCGCAACAATCCAAGGCTGGGTCCCAAGTGCACATGGCCGCCTCCCTGACCAAGGCGCCCTCACAGGCCCAGCTGACCACCTGCTTGAGTAAGACCGTGTCCCAGACACGCCAGCCTCCAGAGCCAGCTGGGGTCCTGCCTGAGGCACAGCTGGCCTCGTGTCCACCGGCCACCCAGCCCCAAGCTCCGTTGGCCACCTGCCCGAGCAAAGCTGCCCCACCCCGGGTCCATCCGCTCGCCGAGCAGACCAAAATCCTGTCCCAGGGCCGCCTGGCCACCTGCCTGGTGAGGTCATCGCCTCCAATATACACATCCAGCAAGCTGGCCAAGGACTTGTCCCAAGGCCACCTCACTTCATGTACGTGTCCCACCAAGATCTCGTCCCAGGTACACGCGTCCACCCAGCAGGTGCAAGCCGTGTCGCAGGCCCCGCTGACCACCAAGCCCTCCACGCAGACGCACCCGCCTCCGGAGCTGACCGTGGTCCTGCCACAGACGCATCTGATGGCTAGCTGTGCACCAACGCCCATCTCCCACACACAGCTGAGCCCGGGTGCGGCCAAGACACCCTCCCAGATCCACCCGCCCACCAAGCTGGTGGCCAAGACGGCCTCCCTGGCCCACCTCATCACGTGCCTGTCCAGGGCTCAGTCGCAAGCTCATCTGCCGCTCAACCTCACCAAAGCGCAGTCGCACGCACAACTGGCCACCGAGGCATCCAAGGGCGTGTTTGCAGCCCACCAGTCCACCGACCTCAGTGCCAAGACCCAGTCACAGCCCATCCTCGCCCAGTCCAAGGCATCCACCCCACCCTGCCACCACCTTGGCACTTTGCCACGGGCCACGCCGGATGACAGACTGACCATACTGCAGGGCAAGGCCACTCAAGGGCCGCCCCCACCACAGCGTCAGGCGGCTGCGGATGCCCCGGGCATGCTGGTGCCCCTGCTGGCCCCCTCTGGACATATGCCCTGTAACATGGAATCCTGGGGCGACAGTGCCACCGCTCGGACTCCGCTGCCCACAGCCAGCAGCCAGGTCGTGCCCTGTCAGGATGACCTGGCCACCTCCCAGATCGCCTCTCTCTGTGCAGAACTGGCCAGCGTTCTCGGTTCCCAGGAAGACCTCCGGGCTCTGCTGACCAAAGCGCTGGCCCAAGGGGAAGTGCGGGCGGCCCTGAACCAGGCATTGTCCAAGGAGGTGCTGGGCGCCACGGTGGCCAAGGCTCTGCCGCAAGGCATGCTGAGTATGGCCTTGATGAAGGCACTGTCGTGGGGCGAGCTGGGCATTGCGCTGTCACGGGCCTTGGCACGGGGCGAGCTGCGCAACGAACACACGAAAGCCGTGCAGGGCAGACTGGCCGAAGTGCTGAGCAAGGCTCTGACCGAGGAGGAGCGGGCGGCGCTGAGCCAGGCCCTGTGCCAGGGCGAGTTGGGCGCTGTGCTCAGCCAGTCTGTGTCCCAGGCGGCTCTGAGATTGCCCAAGGGCGTGTCTAAAACGGCTGCCGCAGCAGCGGCAGTGGAGGCGGACTTCCGGGGGACCCCGACGGCCTCGTGGGCACCCACGCTGGGGCTCATGCGGCCGCAGCCCAGCAAGGTTAGGGTTTCCTGGGTCGGTGCGTGGGGGGATTTCGCTGTGGGTGGGCATGCCGGGCTGTGGGAGGCCATGGGGGACGGGCCTGCAGCCGGGGTGCTTCTTTGCTGTCCACCACGGGCCTCCATCGGGGTTGTCCACCGTCCTTGCTGCCCTGTGGCCTGGGGGGCCAGGCGGCACAGGGATTTCTCTGCCAGCCTGTTTCTAAGACTGAAGACCCGGAGGGAGCCGGTAATGTGTCCCATCCCCAATTGTCACCCCGTGGCGGGAGGCGGTGACGGCCAGGGGCCACACGTGCGCAGCCCACCGCACCTGCAGCCGTGGCAACCCCTCATTGCCAACGGTGTGGGCCCCAGTATCAACCAGCCATCGGTGACCTATGGCAATGCCCCCAGCTCCCACAAGCCAAACGTGGTCAGCAAGGGAGCCGCCCGGCTGTGGACGTCCGGCGGGGAGGGCAGGGTGGCCTCGGGCAAGCTTCTGAGCGGGGACGGGCGTGGGAGGGCTCCGCATGCCTACTTGTCGTCCCCTGCCTGTCGGGGGACCGCCTGCTGGTGTCAGTCTCCGGGGAGCAGCAGAATCTCCTCCAACTTATTTCCTCACCCCCTGGGGGTTGGCAGTCCCCACAAGCCCTCCCGAGGCTTGGAGGGAAACCCGGGCAGGCTGGCATCCCCCAGCACCAAGCAGGTGTCGGGCAGCATCCGAGAAATGCTCACCAAGATGACCCCTGGCCCCCTGAAGGCAGCCATCACAAACAAGGTGCAGGTGCGCAAGTCCCAAGTGGACTGTGGCTTCTTCCAGGCCAGCTCAGACAGCAGGCTGGTGCCCATCCTGACCCAGACGCCGCCCCCCACTGCCGCCGCCATCATCACCACCGGCACTGACACTGCTGGCGCAGGAAGGAGTCTTGTCCGGGGGCCCAAGCCGGCCCCACCTGCCCCCCAGGAGCTGGTAGCTGGCCACCCTATTTCCATTCTTGGTGAGCTGGTGACAAGCCGGCCGCCGCCACCACTGAGGCTGGAGCCCAGCCTGACCAAGGGCATCCCCCAGGCTGCCATGGGCTACAGCGCCATTGAGAGTAACTCCCAGAGCTCTTTGCAAAGTTATGGTTCACTCAGCCTCTCCACTGTGTCCATGGCCAGTCTGACCACCATCGAGCTGGTGGAGGCGTCCTGGGAGGGCCACGCTGAGGAGGAGGAGCTCCCGCTGGATGCTCTCCTGCCCAAGCAGCCCGGTGCCACCGCCAACGCCACCGGGGAGGTCCAGAGGCAGGAGGGCAGAGGGCGTGGCCTCGGGCCAAAGCCTGCCAAGGGGCCTGAGCTCATACCGATTCTGCGGCACAACTCGGCCTGCAGCCGGCTGACCCTGAGTGTCCACTGGGATGCAGATAGTGACAAAGACAGCTTGGCCTCGTGCCATGACTCCCTGGATCCCGTAGGGATGGGGGCCCAGGACCCCTACAGGGCGGCAATGCATAGGAGCCTATCTATGGGCTCTTTGGTCCCTGCTGCCTACCAGTCACCATTTCTGCCCACCGCCAGCTCAGTCCCAAGCCAGTCCCAACCTACCTTGGCCGGTGGGGTTCCGCCAGGCTTGGCCCAGCTCTCCATGGCTGGGGCGGTGACCCCTAATCTCACCCAGCCATCTGTGGCTGCAGTGGGGGTGCCACCGGGGGTAACACAGTCTTCCGTTCCCAGTGGTGGGGCAATACCTAGTGTAGGCCAATCCTCTGTGGGCGGTGGGGTCGCCCCAAGCCTAGGCCAACCATCAATGACTGGTGGAGTATCTTCCGCTCCAGCCCAGGTATCTACCACCAGTGGGGTACCCCCAACCTTGATCTATCAGTACAGAGCCAGTGAAGTGGACCCCAGCTTGATGGCCACTGGGGCAACCCCTCGGTCACGCCATCCATCTATGGTCAGTGTGGGAGCACACAGCCAAGGCCACCCATCTATGGCCAGTGGGATGGGCCCAAATGGAGCCCAGTCATCTATGGCCAGTGGGGTGACCTCAAGCATGCCCCAATCATCTACAACGAGTGGGGGTACCTCAAGCATGCCCCAATCATCTACAACGAGTGGGGGCACCTCAAGTCTAACTGAATCATCTATGACCAGTGGGGTGTCTTCAAGCCTAGAGCAACCTTCTATGGCCAGTGGGATGGGCCCAAATGGAGCCCAGCCATCTATGGCCAGTGGGGTGGGCCCAAGTGGAGCCCAACCTTCTATGGCCAGTGGGGTGGGCCCAATCCTAACCCATCCATCCATGGCCAGTGGGGTGGGCCCAAGTGGAGCCCAACCTTCTATGACCAGTGGGGTAGGCCCAATCCTAACCCATCCATCCATGGCCAGTGGGGTTGGCCCAAGCGTAGCCCAACCATCCATGGCCAGTGGGGTAGGCCCAAGTGTAGTCCAACCATCCATGGCCAGTGGGGTGGGCCCAATCCTAACCCATCCATCCATGGCCAGTGGGGTGGGCCCAAGTGGAGCCCAACCTTCTATGGCCAGTGGGGTGGGCCCAATCCTAACCCATCCATCCATGGCCAGTGGGGTGGGCCCAAGTGTAGCCCAACCATCCATGGCCAGTGGGGTGCGTCCATACTTAGCTCATCCATCCATGGCTGGTGGAGTGTCCTCCGGCCCATCTCGTCAATCAATGGTCAGTGGAGTCACAACCCTAGCCCAACCACCTATACCCAGTAGGGTGGCTTCAAACCTAGATCATTCATCTATGGTCATTGGAGTGGCCCCAAGCCCAGCTCAGCCATCTACAGCCAGTGGGTTAGCCCCAAGGTCGCAACCTCCTCCCGTGGCCAGTCGGGTATCCCAGGGCATAACTCAACCATCTGTGGCCAGTGAGTTTTCCCCTGGACTACACCAGACATCTGCCATGAGTAGGGGAGCCCAAGGCCTGGATCTGCCACCTGTGGCCCCTGGGGCAGCCCCATATGCAGGCCAGTCGACAGTGGTCAATGAGATGGTTCCACCCTTTGCCCAGCAATCAGTGGCCACTGCAGGGTCCTTTCCCATTCACACACAATCTGTTACCCGTGATGCAGCACCAAGTCTAGGATATCCACCTGTGGCCGGTGGGGTAGGGCCAAGCATAGCCCTGTCATCTCTGGCCAGTGGAGTGTCCCCCAGCCTAGCTCGCCAATCTATGGTCAGTGATGTGGGCCCAAGTGGAGCCCAGCCATCTCTGGCCAGTGGGGTGGGCCCAAGCATAGCCCAGCCATCTCTGGCCAGTGGTGTGGGCCCAAGCATAGCCCAGCCATCTCTGGCCAGTGGGGTGGGCCCAATCCTAACCCAGCCATCTCTGGCCAGTGGGGTGGGTCCAAGTGGAGCCCAGCCATCTCTGGCCAGTGGAGTGGGTCCAAGTGGAGCCCAGCCATCTCTGGCCAGTGGGGTGGGTCCAAGCATACTCCAGCCATCTCTGGCCAGTGGGGTGAGCCCAATCCTAACCCAGCCATCTCTGGCCAGTGGTGTGGGTCCAAGTGGAGCCCAGCCATCTCTGGCCAGTGGGGTGGGTCCAAGCATAGCCCAGCCATCTCTGGCTAGTGGGGTGGGCCCAATCTTAACCCAGCCATCTCTGGCCAGTGGGGTGGGCCCAATCCTAACCCAGCCATCTATGATCAGTGGGGTGGGTCCAAGCATAGCCCAGCCATCTATGGTCAGTGGGGTGGGCCCAAGTGGAGCCCAACCTTCTATGGCCAGTAGGGTAGGCCCAATCCTAACCCAGCCATCCATGGCCAGTGGGGTGGGCCCAAGTGTAGCCCAGCCTTCTATGGTCAGTGGGGAGGGCCCAATCCTAACCCATCCATCCATGGCCAGTGGGGTGGCCCCAAGTGTAGCCCAACCATCCATGGCCAGTGCAATATCCCCTGGCCTGGTTCGTCACTCCATGACCAGTGGGGTGTCCCCGATCATGGGTCAACCATCTGTAACCAGTTGGATGGCACCAAGCTTAGCCTATTCATCGTTGGTTCTGGGTGTCCCCCCAAGCTTTGCCCAGCCTCATATGGGCCTGGGGGTGATGCCCAGCCTAGCTGAGCCATCTGTGACCAGTTTGGCCCAGACATACTCCTCCAGCCGGGTTGTCTCCAGGCCAGCCCACCCATCTCTAATTCAGCAGGGGATTCCCAGGCTCTCCCAACCTTCTATGGATGTGGCCCACCCACCCATGGCTGCCAGGCTAACTTCTAGCCTATCCCAGCCTTCAGTGCTCAACGGGATGGGTCGTGGTCTTAGCCAGCCAGGTTGGATCTCCAGGGTGGACCCGTGTCTGTCGCCTCCTAGGGTGAAGCCCACGTCTGTTGTGATTTCTGTCAGTCCAGGCAGGCAGTACCCATGTGTGCCAGGAGGTGGTGGCACAGGCCACGGTCTGAGCCAGTCGCCTCTGGGTTTCGAGGTGGATGAGTGTCGCGAGCCCCTGTTAATGACGGGTATGCTGCCGCACCTGCAGGACGCGGTCGCCGAATTGGAGCAGGCGCCACTGGGCTTCCAACAGTCCCCTCCCATCTGTGGCCGGCAGTCTAGCATGGTGACCGTGTCTACGCCAAACCTCTATCACCTGTCGGTGACTAATGAGAATGAATGCTGTGTGGCTCAAATGCCCACCAAAAGGCACCGGGTCCCCTTCCGGCGCATGGCAGCTGGCCCTCCCCAGGCGCCCATGGGGACCACCAGCATGTTCCTGGGCGTGCCCCAGGGGGCTGCTTTGGCAGATGTCCCTCGCAGAGGTGTGGCCACCTCTATGGGCCGGAACCTGGCCCAGGTGCCCGAGGGCAGGGTCCCCATGGCGCCCCAAATCTCAGAGGCGGCCACCCCTTTGGTGGTAGGTGAAAGTCCTCCCCTGGAGTCTGGCCTCTTTCAGGCTGCGATGGTCAACCAGTCCAGCTTGTCTGTGAGCAGCGTGGGCCCCAGCGTCTCGCAGGTCAATGTGGCCCTAGACCCGTTGACCATGGCTGCCCGCCCCAGGTACATCAGCCCGCATGATTTGCTCATGGCCGAGGCAGGCGCTGATCTCGGCTCGGGTCCTGGAGGCAGCAGGGTGGCCATGGCCATGACCCCAGGCTCTGCAGCCAGCGGTGTGACCCTGGGCCTCCCCTCAGGGTCTGTGATCAGAGGTGTGGGACAGGGTCTCCCACCAAGCTCCCTGCCTGCATCTTACTCCCCAGATTCCACAGCCAGCGTGGTGGCCTACGGCTTACCCCGGAGCCCTGTGGTCAGTCGGGTGCCCCCTAGTGTTGTGTCCATGCCAGGTGCCAGCAGAACATCACAGGGTCCGTCTGGGGGGCCGATGACCCCCGTGGACTCCCTGGGGGGTAGGCCGCTTAGTTCTGGGGCCCACAGTCTCCCACAAGCATCCCTGCTCATCGGCCTCACCCCCAGTCCTTACCACGGGTCCGTGGCCAGAGAAGGACGGCACGCCGGTTCCTTCCAGGCATCCCAAGCCAACAGCCTGGCCCCGACCCCAGCCGCGGCTCCCTCCGTGGGCAGGAGCTTGTCCCGTAGGATTCCCACGGTGCTGTCGCTGGCCTCACAGTTTGGCCAGGACCCTGAGCTCATGACCTTTGGCACCATCGAGGAGCAGCCCCCCGCCGAGGCCCAGGGGCAGTATGATGACGCCCTGTCTCACTTGTCAGGTTCCAGCGCTGAGTCCCTGCACTCCGAGGTCCTCGAGGCCACCCCGTGGATGTACCCCGGTGCCCAGGCCGTGGGTGGCGGCGTTGATAATGACCGTGGGCTCCCATTGGAGCAAGAGGCTGTCAAAAGCCAGATGGCCTTCAAGGAGGCAGCTCCCAGTCTGGCCGGCATGGGCGGAGGTGGTTCCCCCATCTCTTATCAGTCCCCCAGCCTGGCCAAGCGCTCCATGGCCAGCAGTGGGGAGCCGACCACCGTGCCATCCATGCTGGCTGGCAGCAGGGCGCCCCCTAGCGGTCCCCTGATCGTTCCTAGTGGCCTGTCTGGTGCGACCACCCGGTCTGCAGCCAACAGGACCAGGGGTCAGGCGCAGGTGCCCGGGATAGCAGAGCCACCATCTACTTTCCAATGGGAGCCCGTGGCAGCTGCATCTTCCATGGCGTCCAGATCCCCCCATCAGTCAGCCCACGGCAGCACCATGGCTGTCACGCTGCCCCCAGGATCCATGGCCAAGATGGGGAGCCCACAGCTGCCTCCCCAGAGACCCAGCATCCCCAGCACGGTCTCACAGGGGTCTCCCTATGGGCCCTCGGTCCACAAGTTGAGCTCCTTCCAAGCGGGAGCTGACCCAAGACCCACATCCGGGACTTCGACCCCAGGCAGTCCAAACCCGTTAAGCCCACGCAAATCCTACAGATCCGTGCCCGGCAGCATTGTCGCCGAGCTAATGGATGAGGCCACGGCCAAGGCCCTACCCACGCTGCAGGGGCAGAAGCAACCGTCCCAGGCTCCTCCAGGGGGTGGCCTGAAGCAGGCAGTGGGGGGCACCAGCACTACCTCTCAGGGGGCGGACATCGTGCCCAACATTTCCTCGGGCCCTGCCACGCCCAGCGCCCCCATCCCCCGGCTGCCCCCGGGCGTCCGAAGGGTCTCCCTGGGCTATGAGTCTTCCCCCAGCGGCTCCCGAAGGCCCCTGCTGGAGGACGATTCCCAGGAGCCCCTAAATTCCACACCCAAGTACCCCAAGTCGTCACTGGTCTCTGCCATTCTACAACGCCGCCGCAGCTCCCAGGGCTCGTCTGGGCGAGCCCGCAAGTCGTCCATTACCCCAAGTGCCGCCGTGTCAGGCCAGGCCTCCCGCGGGACCCCCAGTGCCACCGTGCCAGGCCAGGCTTCCCGCGGGACCCCCAGTGCCACCGTGCCAGGCCAGGCCTCCCGCGGGACCCCCAGTGCCACCGTGCCAGGCCAGGCTTCCCGCGGGACTCCCAGTGCCACCGTGCCAGGCCAGGCTTCCCGGGGGACCCCAAGTGCCACCGTGCCAGGCCAGGCTTCCCGCGGGACCCCAAGTGCCGCTAGCACCTCCTGGTATGCCAGATCATCTGTCACCCCCTCCCTGCCCCAACCCCAGGCCTCCCACAATTCCACCGTCCATCAGCTGCCACCGCAGCACCAGCAACCGCCGCCACCCCTGACCACCCCATATGCCGCCCGCGGCCAGGCCTGGTACAACTTCTCCAACTCGGCCATCCAGCGCCGAAGCACGGCCCCACTGACCCCCAGTGTCCTCCAGGGCCCCGTGGATGCTGCTGGCGTGGCCGCTGGCCAGTCGTGGAACGCGGCAGTCCCCAGCGTCGCCGTCAGGCCCATGGCTTCCCGCCTCCCTGCTGCCACCACCAATTCCGGCAGCGACAGCTCCGCCACGCGGGGAGCTTGGGACGCCGTGGGCGGTGAGGTGGCCACGGACCCCAGGCAGTTGGGCGACCTGGTCGTGTCGGTGCAGACCATGGAGAGACTCATCACCCACGCAGTTATCACCATCCAGGCTTGCGCCCGTGGCTACCTGGTACGGCGCACCGTGCGACTGTGGCACCAATGGGCCACCATCATCCAAGCCACGTGGCGCGGCTACTGCGTGCGCCGGAACCTTGCCCGGCTCTACCAAGCCACCACCACTATCCAGGCCGCCTGGCGAGGCTACTGCACCCGCCGGCAGCGTGCCCACCAAGTCCTGCTCCCCGCCGTGTGGGCCCAGATGAGCGCCAGGGCTATGGACCACTCCAAGAGCATCACCGATTCAAGCGGCGGGGGTGGCCTCCGTTCGGCCTCGGAACACCGCTGCTTCCAATCCTGCCGGCCTCATGCCTGCAACTTCTGCCAGTCGTTGAGCAATCCCGGACTGGGCAACCCGCCGAGCGTGGTGATGCTGGTGGGCAGCAGTCCTCGCACTTGCCACACGTGCGGCCACACCCTGCCCACCAGGGTGGTCCACGGCATGGGCCGCAGCGTCTCCAGCAACCAGGGCACCGCCACGCAGTGGACCTACAGTGGCCAGCTGGGTCCCCAGAGCCCCCGGCAGATCTGTGGCCGGGCCAGAGCGGCCACGGCCATCCAGTCCGCCTGGAGGGGTTTCAGGATCCGCCGACAGCTCCGGGAGCAGCAGACGGCTGCCAGGATGCTGCAAGCCACCTGGCGGGGCCACTACACGCGCAACAGCCTGACCACCGATGCGCTCCTGGACTCGGGGGGCCCCTGGGACCACTGTCGGAACCCCAACCGCAGCGTCTCCAGGACCACGCAGTGGCCCGGCGTCTAGGCCCTCCAGCCCCTGCCCCGGGGGTCCTGGGAAGGCCACATGGCGCCCTGTCTGGGTGTGGTGAATAAATCTGTCACAGCCAGGATCCTGTTGTGTTGTGTGTGGGGCTCGGGGAGATACGGAATGTTCCAGAAGGAGGTGGGGTCTTTCGCTTCCCCATAGCCTCCACCCATGCACTTTGAGGTGTCTGCAGCCAGGCCGGGGACCCCTGAGTCTTTTCCTAGAGGCCAAGGGTGGCCACCTGGACTCACAGGTGTTACCACAGCGTAGGGGGCAGGGCATGGAGGACATCGAGAACTTCGGGCAAAGCAGGATTCCAGATTAATTTTGGTGCAAAAAGAGGCTGCTTGCAGTACATTTCCCCCCATAATATGTATTTTCTGGGGATGGTAGGAGGGCCCTCTTGTACATGGCATGTCGCAAGTCCCACGTCTTACCGGGGGCTATTATGGCTCAGTCTGATACCATATATACCTATTCTGGTTGCCATGCATGCCAGCAGTAACAGTAGCCTTGCCCATTGCTGGCTTGCCCCCCAGTGCCAGCTCACATTCACCAGTGGAAGCAGTGGCCCAATAAGGGAGTCCCCAAAATTCCCTTACCAGGCCCACTCCTAACACCGGATCTTACGTGTGCCAGCAAAGCTTGCCCTAGTCTGAGATGGCCCATCCCGGTCTCAGCATTGGCCAGCAGGTGCTATAGCCTGGTTCAGCCTGCCCCCAGACCCAGTTCACACATGTGCTGATGGGAGCTGCCGCCCAGCAGGGCAATCCCCGGAGGTCTTCCACCAGGTCCATTCTCAGCTCTGGTCTTGCGTGTGCTCATGGGCGCTTTGCTCCAGCCTGGCACGGCCCACCCACAGTCTCAGCTCTTGCTGGTGGGTGTTGCAGCCCAGTCCATCCTAGCCAGGAATGGCCTACACCCTGTCTTGATTTTGATGAGTGTCAGTGGGTGCGGTGACCTGACCCAGCCTGGCCTGTCCCCAGATCCAGCCCGCACAAAAGCTGACCAGAGCTGCAGCTCTGCCTGGCCCAGCCCACCCGACCCCCAGCCCTGGGCTCCCTTGTTCTCCAGAGGCAGCTCTGGACTGTTAGGGGAGTTCTCCCTTGCCCACCTGCAAGTGCAGTGGGCCCGGCTGTTGAAGACCCCAGAAGTCATTTCCCCCCTACCCTCCTGTTGAACACGCTCTCAGCTGCCCCAACTCCAATACGTTTGCAGACCGACTTTCCTGGGGCAACCAGCAGCCCCCCAGCCTTGGGGCCAGGGTGGCGAGTCATGGCCTGGGGTTTTCCTGCCTTCTCGACTTAAAAAACCAAAAACCAAAACAAAACAGCAACTGGCAACCTGGTATGGTTAACACATTTGGGCATTGACCAGGCCCAGCAGGCACATCAGCTGCTAGTCGGTGTTCTTCCGACCTAGGCAGGTGCCCACAGCTGGGGGCACGTGGCATCCCCTCACACCGCCTCACACCCAACACCCAGCAATCCCCAGGCTCTTCAGGCTGCTGCTGTGGGCACCTTGCTCTAGAAACGCTGGAAGGTTCTAGTCACATCCTTACGGGGAAGCAGGTGGGGGTTGATACTGGCTCCTTGGAGTCAGGGGAGGAAGTGGGAAGGACCTGGGGACCAGCTGGCTAGAAGGAGGCACAGGAAGTTTGGGGTACTCTTGGTGGGGGAGGGGAAGAGGACAGGGTGCTGTCCTAGGCACCCATGGCAGGGCAGGGGTCCCCGAGGGTTGTTTAGGGCACTAAAGGTCCAGATGCAGAAAGATGTGGTGATGGGGCAGGGGCAGGGAGGACAGGGGCGCCTCCCAGTGCCCTCGTGTCTCTGACACAGCACACAGTTCCACGCACTGCCAGCAGGGCGCACGTGCGAGCAGCTCTCGGGAGTTCTGACCAGGCACCTGCCCAGGGCACTCACCTGGGCAGTGCGCACGGTGGGCCCGGCCCGGCGCAGGCATGGCGGGCTCCCGGCCCCCGCTGCTGCTGCTGCTGGTTCTCATGGCAGCAACAGTCCCAAATGAGTCTTCTACAAACAGTCCCACTACAGGTAAGTGCAGGTAAGCGGGAGGCGGGGTTTCTAGGAAACCGAAAGTGACCCACCCCAAGGCCGCCACTCCAGCGTGGCAGGGAAGCCGGCTGCCCCGCGGTCGGTCCAACTGCTCAGACCCCAGAGGGACACGGCACAGAAGCCCAAGGTTACGACCAGTGGTTGGAAACCTTGAGCTCACTGGCTCCTGTGGGTAGTTCTTCTTGCTATCCGCCTGCCTTCCCTCCTGCTGTCTCTGAGACATCAGGGGAGAGAGGGAGAATGCTCCCCCGGCTCACCCAGCGGACAGCTGAGCAAAAGCTGGCCCCATTTCACTGCCCAGAAACATCTGACGCTACCTCCAGCCAGCCTGGGGTGGGAGCAGGTGACGACCAATGGACAGACTAGTCCTGTACCTGGTCCTGCGCCGCCTCGCCCAGGCGCCTACTGTGTGCCCAGCACCGAGTAGGATTCTTGTCTGCTGCCGTTGCCTCCTGGAAGCCCCACTGGGTTTCCTTCACCCACTCTTAACTCCCCAGGGCACAGAAACCTCTCATGGGAAGCGGTGGGTGGCAGCTTGGGGCGGCTGTCGCCCCCTCGGCCTCCTCGAGCTCTCCAACGGCCTTGGGCAGGGAGTCTTCTGCCCCTCAGCTCCCCCCACACACACCCTCCCCCATCCTCTGGCCAGGCCCTCTATCTCAGACCCTAGGCCTCTTTGCCTCCCTGTAAAATGGGGGTGAAGCCCCCTCACATTCCATTCCTCTCCAGGACCCAGCTGCTAATGCCTGCTGGCCGAGGAGCAGGGGGTGGAGGGGTGGAGCGATGGGTATATGGATGGGGGAGGGCTGGGGCCGAGGTGGGAAGAGGCCCAGGCAGACTGCGGTCCCCCTCCCCCAGGGCCAGCGTGAGCTGTATTTCCGGGTTACTGTTGGCAGGGGTGGGGCGGGCAAGGCTGTTGAAGGGACTCGCCCAGCGGCCCACAGGAAGTCTCTGTGGCGTGCGGCCCGTGGACCCTGCCCCCTGTCATCTCCCGGCACAGAGGCCCCCACGGCTGGGTTGCTACAGCCACTGCTGTGGTGGCCGCCGGCACCTTCCAGGTTATTGAATCCTAGACAATGCCCCGGAACAACCGCCTGGCACGGGAGCATGCTGGTTCTCTCTCTCCATGGCAGAAGCAGGAGGCAGGGAGGGCGGTTGCCACTGCAGGAATCCACAGCATGGCCTAGGAACCAGCATTCACGGGATGGGGGTTGGGGGAGGGAACGAGAGCGGGTCCAGGGCAAGGGCAGTGACAGGCACCAGGCTTGGAGTTCCTTTATCTGTTTCCACTCCTTAAAGTTCATTTATTTGAAAGGCAGAGCTAGAAGAAGTGAGGCAGAGATCCTCCATCTGCTGGCTCACTTCCCAAGTGGCTTCCATGCTTGGGGCTGGAGCAACAGGAGAAAGGAGCCAGGAGCCTCTCCCGGGTCTCCCACGCAGGTGCAGGTCCCAAGGCCGTGGGCCGTCCTCCACTGCTTTCCCAGGCCACAGGCAGGGAGCTGGATGGGAAGTGGAGCAGCCGGGACTCGAACTTGGCATCCATGTGGGATGTGAGGGTCCTGTCTGAAGGAAGCACTATAGCACGTTTCGGGGGGTCTGGGCCTCTCTGGGCGGCCCATCACCAGCAGCCCTGTGCCCCATGGTGGATTTATTTACACAGTGAGCCCCACCACGTCAGCTGTCTCCTCTGAAAGCTCTTCAACCACAGTGACAAGCCCCACCTCACCACCAACGACGGGCTCGACCTCCGTGACGTCAGGGACAAGCCCCACCCCCGTGACGTCAGAAGCAAGCCCCACCTCCGTGACGTCAGGGACAAGCCCCACCCCGGTGACGTCAGAAACAAGCCCCACCTCCGTGACATCAGGGACAAGCCCCACCCTGGTGACACCAGAAGCAAGCCCCACCTCCGTGACGCCAGAAGCAAGCCCCACCTCCGTGACGTCAGGGACAAGCCCCACTTCCGTGACGTCAGAAGCAAGCCCCACCTCCGTGACATCAGGGACAAGCTCCACCCCTTCAGCGGCAACACCAGACACTACCTCCATGACGTCAGAGACAAGCCCCTCCTCCAGTTCCCATTCCACTCAACTCCCGGATTCCGCAGCCACCCCACTGGAGCATCCCACAAGCCCGGGTAAGCCTGGAGGAGTTTGGGGTGAAGGGGTGTGAGGCCAGCGGATTAGAGAGAGAGATCTGCCACCTGCTGGTTCGCTCCCCCAGAAAGCTACCATGGCTGGAGCTGGCTGAACTTTGGGTCTGCCACGTGGGTGCAGGGGCCCACGCACTCCGTTGCTTTCCCAGGCCACAGGCGGGGAGCTGGATGGGAAGCTGAGCAGCTGGTGCGATGGCTCAGTGGCTAAATCCTCACCTTGCATATGCTATGGACACCAGTTCATGTCCCGGCTGCTCCACTTTCCACCCAGCTCCCTGCCTGTGGCCTGGGAAAGCAGTGGAGGACGGCCCACAGCCTTAGGACCCTGCATCTGCGTGGGAGACCCGGGAGAGGCTCTTGGTTCCTGGCTTCAGATCGGCTCGGTTTTGGCCGTTGTGACCACTTGGGGAGTGAACCAGTGGATGGAAGGTCTTCCTCTCTGTCTCTCCTTTTCTCTGTAAATCTGCCTTTTCAATAGAAATAAATAAATCTTTTAAAAGGGGTGGGGGTGCTCTGGCGGGTGTCAGCTCCAGGGCTAACCCCAGGGCTGGTCCTCCCCGGTCCAGGTGACGTAGGAGTCCCCCAGCACAGCAGGAACCCAGGCGCGGTGGTGGCCGTGTGTCTGGTCGTGTCCGTGTTGGTCATCGCATCCGTGTTCACGGCCGTGAGGTATTACAAGCGAAAGGAGTCCGCCTCCAGGAAGCTGGAAGGGGTGTACATGGTGAGGCGGAGAGCAGTGGACGATGGCAGGGGTGGGGAACGAAGCTTGGCCCCGG